TTTTATATCATATAATTGTGCATTTAACTGACAGACGTGCTTTTGTTTTTCAGAAAAACCTAGCAGTAGGATAGAAACATTAGCGAAGCCTAAACGCGTGCCACCAGAGTTTCTAGAAGATAGGTGAGTGAAGTGAAAGTAGAAAATCGAATTGATTCTTGGTGGGTGGGGTAATTTAAATAAGTCTATCTCTTTACACAAGCCATTTATCGGAGAAAAGTAGAAATCTCTATAGAAAATAAGAAATGTTATGATTCTCATTATGTTTGATTAATCTAGTTAGAAAATACAAAGTAATTTGATGTGATGTTTAAGATTTCTGAAAGACTGAATTTCTTTTCATAATCATATTTAGGGTTTGTGTACAAATATATTTCTATATGTAGTCTGAGTAGATCGAATGATTTATATTTTTGACACCTTCCTTCCCCCCTCCCCTTCTCTCCTTCCTCAGTCATGCTGCAACCACACTTAGGCAGGTTCAACAACTAATTGTAGAATCTATTACAAGTTGAGCTATTTTGCTATTTTATGTATGAGCATTCCACTATCACCCAGAACAAAAATTAATACAGAATAAAACTTTAAATTCATTACTTTATTTTCAATGGAATCAATATTTTTTTTTTATTGTTATTGAATTGTGGTTCACTTTTCTTTCTTTTTTTTTTTCTTTTTTTTATAAAATATTTGTTTGGTTTTCAATAGGATGCTGAACATATATTTAGAACAGATGTAAATCTTTTGTCTTTCTTTGTTTCAATATTGAAAAGTATTTATTTTAGCGAAATAACTATTCTTAAAAAACAATAGGAATTTTATTGAATTTATTACAATATGATCAAATCCTTTCTGGGGTCATTGTCTATTAAGTTATTTTGGTAATTATTTTTTTTTCTTTTATATCTCAAGAAAATTCTTTTAAGATATTTAGTTTCCCCTTTAAAAAATTTATTTTTTTTCACCTTTTTTAAAAAAAGCTTGTTATTGTTTAAATTTAACTCGGGAAATTTTCAAAATTTTTATTTAAAATAATTTTCTAAATTAAATGAATGGACCCCGAGATGGGTTTTTTCTATTTAAACACATTCAAAATCATTTATTTTTTTTTTGGGCCCAAAAAAAATAAAATTTTTTTTTCATAAAGAAAAAAATATAAAATTTAAATTTTTTTTTCCCGCTGAAAAAAAAATTTTTTAAAGTACTAATTCTTAAAATTTTGTACTTTTAAGTAAAAGAAACAATTAAAGTCATGATATACATTCTGAACATATGGTATTGTTGAAAACCTTTTATAGATATTTGAAAAATTGATTTCTCTTAAAAGCATCAATTACACTTTATAGAAAGTTTTAGTTGTAATTTTGTTTATCTTAACAACTATAAAATACTTTACATTGGAACTGTATATTACTGTCATAAAACCATTGTGTTTTTTTGTTTAGCGAGTATTGAAAAAAAACTGAAACCCGATATCACATTTCATTTAACCATTTTAATGGTTTGCTTATTGTGGCATTTCAATTTATTTAGTAAATGGATTGAAGTAAAAACAAGTTTTTAAAACATTTATTGTTCAGAATGTAAATGGAATTTTATTTATTTTCATGCGGGGAAATATTTCTATTTGAACTGTTATCCTTATGACTACTGAACACCTAGAACAATATTTTTCAAATAATGAAAATACTGTTCAGCTTATTTGAATATAGGAAGTAATTATATTTTTAATAGTTTTTCTTCTCAATACCTTTACCATTACAAAGATCATTGCCATTTTATATGTTGCTATTTTAGTATTATCAAAGTTACTTGTCAAGTTGATTGAAATTTTTAGCTTTTAACTTGTTTAAATTGCTCCATATTTGTCACTGGTCATTTAAGGGTATAATAAACAACAGGTTTTAGTTGCTATACATTTTTGAATAGTGAAAAGACTTTTTTCAGCATTGATCTTGTTGATTGAAATAATTGAAATGAGCCGTGTCATGACAAAACCAACATAATGGGTTTGCGACCAGCATGGATCCAGACCAGCCTGCGCATCCGCGCAGTCTGATTAGGATCCATGCTGTTCGCTTACAAACCCTATTACAAGTAGAGAAACTGATAGCAAACAGCATGGATCCTGATCAGACTGCGCGGATGTGCAGGCTGGTCTGGATCCATGCTGGTCGCAAACCCCATTATGTTGGTTTTGTCGTGATGCGGCTCAAATGGTTTATAGTACACTACAGTCAAGCATAGATTTTGCTATTTTGACAGAGGACATGCTCATATTTTTATAGTCAAGTTGAGCTGAATTGACTTTATATTTCAAAAGATTGACTGCTAAAATGGTGTTTGACCAACTGTTGATATTGGAAAACATTCAGGATAAAATTACAAATCTGCCTAAAATATAAAAAGACTGTCCCATTCTTTTTATAAACTGAGCATTCTAGGTAAATTCTTATAGATATTTACTGAAATTTTATTTGGATCTGTGCATTATTTATTGTTTATGTGAAGTAAAAGGAATTATGGCAAAATGAAAACATATTTTGATATTCACTCACTATATACTCTTGGATGGGCATAATGTCACTTAAAAAAGAATGATGGCACAAAACTGTCTCATTAATTAATTTTTAAATAAGTCACATAGATCTATTCATTATTAAATATTTTGAATGTTAATAATGGTAATGGCAATGTCTTGAATAGTTAACTTGTGTATAACCAGGCCTGCCTGAGTTCATTGGTACAGTCTCCCTTAACCTGTTTTATTTGTATGATAGTAGTGCCCTGTTTTTCAATTTTGAACCAGTTCTGTTCATGAGAAAATTAAGGGATTTGAGTATGAAAGTACAAAACTGAGCTGTAAACAGTATAGAACCTGGTCAGACTGCACAGATGCGCATACTTGGCTTGGCTCTATACCGGTACTTTGGATATCAACGTTAGTATGGTTCAAATCAAAGTTTGTAAGTTTTGAGGGAAGCACACGCTGGTTCTAAAAGACATGTCACTTGCCATTTCAATCATGCATTGTATTGTATAAGTTACATTTATTTAAGTGTTTAGCCAGTTACTTTTTACCACTTTTGAATTATTATTTTTTTATACTTTTTTTACCGCTTTTGAGTTTTATCCATTTTGGCCTCAGAGGGATGAAAAAATAATTCCAATCTTGTTATAATAATGGTTATAATATTGGTTTATTCATAAATTACTTATATATTAATTTTTGCTCATCAATCCATAAACTTGTCCTGTCTGTTAAAAACAAACAGAAAAAAATAAATGAAATTTATGGGTCAAGTGACTTAATAATCGTAACAGTATGTACAGTTAAAAGAAAACCAAGTTTAAATCATAAATACATATAAATAAAGGCATTAAGCCAAGTGCTTTGATAAAAAAGAGTATTTGTTTATCTAAATGCCATTTTAAGGCCAATTTGTTAAACCATTCTAGTTTATTCTATGTCTGCAGGATTGTTTGATAGCGTAAAGTAAATTATTTTGTTTAGTTGAGAGATTTTAGATTATAAGATTAAAGAAGTGGCAGTATAATATTATACAGCATTGATAAGTCAATAATGTGATATGTTTTGTCCCCGAAAGAAAAAAGAAATAGATAAGATTACATAAGAAGGTTGTTGTTGATATATTTGATAAGTGCTTTTTGTATGTCGCTCATTTATCTCAATAGTGAGACTCATTGGATTTTAAGTCCAGGGGTTACTGGTTCGAACCTGGGGTGTGGTGAAATTTCACCGCTGACTCAGAAATCATGCAGGATTAGTAGTAGATCATTATTGTGGATGAAATTGGTAATTTTAACTGGCTAGTTTATTGTCCAAGAAAAGGCGTTAAGGTTGACCAACGGCTGACATATTACAAAAATTATTTTATCTTTGATGGCAACTAGATATGTTAAACCTTTGCTGCCAGTAATAATTAAGTTTAGGGTCGACCTTGACATCAATGTTGTCTTACAAGTAGTCATTTGGAGCTCCATTTTAGTTTTTTGCACTTATAGACTGTCCAAGATTGAAAGCTGACAAGTCAATTAAAAAATTTAGCCAGATAAGGATTATAAGTTACAGTTGTACATAGTGTGTCTATAAGCTTACAGCTTCCTTAGTTTAGTATATATGAATTTTTTAATTAGAAATTGTGTTGGAAGCTACAATCTGATTGAACTCTTGGAACCAACCAGTACTAAGCAATATGAGTGTAAAGTTTCTTGCTCAAGGAAACAACGGGATTTGATCCCAAGCAGTCGGCAATTCTTAGATTACTAATTTGATGCATTAAGCACTTGGCCATGCCTTACACAATTAAACTAAAATGAAATTCTTTATAAACTAAATTTAAACTAAACTATACTAACAAAACTGTGAACAATTTTGTACTGTATTTGTTAAAATCAAAGAAGAACAATTAAGAATGTATTAAAATAATATGAATAAGGCTAGACGCACATTTTCGCATACTTGTTCATGTATAGTTTTATCACAATTGAACTATTTAAGTTGCTAATTAGGCAAAAAATCTTCACACATTGTTAATAAACTTTATCGCGGTCTTTTATGCTTATATGATTTATTTAAATCATGTGATAAGATCGAGCCTGTAACTATCTCATTGAAAATGCTAAACTGTCTTAAATTATGCAGAGGTATTATACAATTTAGTTCAGTTTAGCAGGCTGCATCAAAAGGTACTATTATAATATGTTATAGTTAAAAAATACTATAATTACACGCTAAATTGCTTACAATTTGAATGAAACATAGGGCGTTTTAGCACATCTTCTTTGGAGTTGCATGGGTTTTAAATATGTAGTAAAGAATAAATCGGTGGCTATTATCAATTTAACAATGACTTATAGATAGAAAACAATAAAATTTGACTGTGGGAATTATGTTAAACTTTGAAGAACATTCGGTTTAGTCTTTGGACCAATTTTAATATCCTAGGACTAAGGTTCTGTAAAAGGAAATTTAGGAGAACATAATTCTTGTTTGTGAAAGAGTTCAAAGAAGAAAAAAAATCAACAAATATTTGGATTTGTTTATAATTTCTTTTGATTGAATTTGACAGATAATTAAAAAGGGACTGCTGTGTGTATAAAGTCTAATTTACTTAATTAGTTACAAAATTAGTAACATAAACAAAACAAAGATACCATTGCATAAGGATTTTCAAACTTTGTCTCATGAGGGAGAAGTTGTTATGTGAATAGAAGCTGGAGTGATGAAGATCTAATTAACATATGAGTTATCAAAGACAGATTGTGATATTCAGGGACTAGTCATTAAAGGATTTGATTTTCATTTGAATCTTGTCACAAGGGAGAAGGTATTATAAGGTTGAACAAGAGTTAAAGTTTATTAACATGTCGACTAGAACATTGACTTTACATCAGTTAGGCCTGAACCAGTGTAGGTAAATACTCTTTCCTATTTTAGTTCAATCAAAGCTGCAGAATTTTATTTTTATTTTTATCATTCATTCTTAATAAAATTCCATCTTTCCAGCTAGCTCATCAATGTTTTACTGATATCTAACCAACTGTCAGTAGTTTCCTGAGTGTTCATCATCATCATGGTGATTATCATCAATGCTGCCTTAGTTATCATCATCATTACCGTTGTTGTCCTCCTCCTCCTCATCATCATCGTTGTCATCATCATCATTATCGTCATTGTCATCCTCATTTTCATCACCACCAGCATTATCAATATCATTTTGATAATCATCATTTCTGCCACTGTCAGATCATCATCATTAATCTCTTTTCAATGTTAACATACCTATTACCATCATCTTATCATTATCACCAGCTGGGCACTCTTACCTAATAATTGTTTGGCTGTTTCTTTGCGATATTGAAAATATTGAGCCTATTTCAAAATACAAAGCACAAGAACTTAACAGATTGATACATACATTTTTTAAATATTTTTTTTTTATTTTTTGTTGCAGACGGTCAGTTTACTGGGTTGACTATGTACCACCAAGACCAGGTCCAAATGGAACAACAGAAATCAGTGAGTATAATTTACATAAATTATGTAATGACATTTGACCAGCAAATGTAACCTTAACTCTTAACCATTAGCTGGGTGATTTGAATTAAGTTTTGAAAATTGATAAATATTATTGTGATATTTCAAAAGTTAACAATATCTATTGAATACATGGTTGAAGCTTGGTCTAATGTAGACCATTATTTAGGAGGGTTTAGGGGCATGCACCTGCAAGACACTTTTGGCTCTGGATTATCGGCAGGGGCCTTTTGGCTTATATTAAGTACTTTTAAGGTATGGTCAGAGGCATAATGAGAAATTTAGGGTACATGAAGTGAAATTTGTTTTTTTTAAAAACATAGGCCTTGGCCTATAGGAAGTTATTGCCACTAGAAAGAGAAGAAATATATAACTTCTTTATGACTTATGTGGAGTCCATCAAAGATCTTTTCCAGATATGATTTTTTTCTTTATTTCATTTTTATGTGAAATTTTTATAAAAGAAAAAGAAAGTATGAAAACTGAAGGAATTTTTGATGAATCACAAAATTCTTGACTGTTAAGTGTTGATTGCCTATTTCAAGTTTTCAAGTTATAGATAGATCAGATACTTTTATCTCATTTTAAATCACATGACAAAGCTATATGCTATAAAGAAACTACTCATTAAAGCATGAATATGCATTTTTCTCAATGCCAACACCTTTTCCACTGTGTAGTATTTTTGGTATTCCTTTTTGATGTCTATAATTATGCATTATATACGCTTCTGCCGCAATAATGTTTTAACTCAATGGTGTCAAAGAATAAGTTACAATGGTGTGGGGTTTAAACTTTGATTAAAATTCTTCTTAATCACATTAGATTGATAAAGTGCAACCTTTGGCTACATTTCTTAAAGATCAATCAAAACTATTTGTATATTGGCAAGCTTCAAGAAATCTTCAGTGTAGGAGATTTAAATATAGGGTACTCTTCAAAATGAAGAATAACAAAAATGAAATGCACTTTGAGTCTAATTTCAAACAGCATGTTTAAATCGCAGAACTATAACATAATTATTTAAATAATAGTGAAATAAGTTGAGGATTAATACTAAATTTGTTGAACAAGTTGAATAAAATCATTTTATAAATACATGTCTACCATAAAAAATACGAGTTCATATTTTTTTTCCTTGTAATTCCAGGCAAATCTTTGCTGCACATCGTAGAGTCAATAGTTAATATTATTAAAAAATATATGGATACAACCAGTTTGATAAACTACCACTTGTCCAATCCTTGTATTAGTCATATATGGTTTTGATTGGCTTGAAAATGGCTGAAAATAGTGCCCAATAACTGCACTAAAAGGAGGATCGAGAGCTCAGCCTGCCAGCCTGTATGTCTGTGCAGTCCAACTAGCTTTATACTTTAATTAAAGCTGCATGCCTCCAGATGAGTCAAAATATTTCCATCAAATCAAACTTGATGAAAATGTACGAAGATTTTAGGAAAAGTAAAAAAGATTCAAAATATAAGTAATGATTTACATGTATGTTTGATTACCAGTAATGATTGATTTTTAGCTCGACTATTCGATAAGAATAAGTAGAGCTATTGCAGTCACCCGAGCGTCGGCGTAACCACTTATGTTAAAGTTTTTGTAATAGTTCAAATATTTTCAAAGTCCATAGACATATGGCTTTGAAACTTTGCACACTTGTTCACCATCATGACCCCAACCTGTAGACAGGAGGAGGTAATTCTATCAAGCATTTTGACAGAATTATGCCCCTTTTTCGACTTAGAATTTACGTTAAAGTTTTTGTAATAGTTCAAATATTTTCAAAGTCCATTGACATATGGCTTTGAAACTTTGCACACTTGTTCACCATCATGACCCCAACCTGTAAACAGGAGGAGGTAACTCTATCAAGCATTTTGACAGAATTATGCCCCTTTTTCGACTTAGAATTTACGTTAAAGTTTTTGTAATAGTTCAAATATTTTCAAAGTCCATTGACATATGGCTTTGAAACTTTGCACACTTGTTCACCATCATGACCCCAACCTGAAAACAGGAGGAGGTAACTCTATCAAGCATTTTTTTTACTATCAAGCACTAAGAATAGTCGAGCGTTGCTGTCCTACCGACAGCTCTTGTTCTGTATTTGTAACCATGTTGCTACTGCGTTACTAACCCAGTACAAGCTATTTTTGAACACTTTGACCTAATTTTGGTAATTTATGTGGGTTGTGTGTTGTTTGTAATGTGTAAATTGCTTCCTTTTGGTTACTTCACAATATTTACTTTCAAATACGTTTTCAAAAGTTTCTTAAAAATTAGCATGAATCTGGAGGTGTGCTGCTTTAATGCTAAAATTTTTGTACCATTCCCAAGTCAGAGCATGTCTGTGTGATTGTGTGCCACACCTGAATTAAAACTCAAAATCTATCCAAGTTCCACAGAAGTCGATATTAAAATTAATTTTCTTATTAAATGTTATAATAAGGATTCTTTATGCATACAGTATAAAGGTATACAAAGTACAAGCTGATCTGTAATTAAAACTTTTTCATTTGAACAATTATATAATTTAAATTAAAATTGGAAAATTTGTTGACATTTGTCATAATGCATGGTATGGTGTAGGGAAATAATGGAACTTGTTGACATTTGTCATATTACAATGTATGGTGTAGGGAAATAATTTCCAGTTTGACATCACCATTGTTTTATAATTGATTGGCTAACTACATGCTGCTATTGAAATGAATTACAGTACAAACTTAATGCCCCCCTACATAGAATTCATAAAGCAGGAATCGATAGCAGTTATTCCATAATGAGTTTGATTTATATTTCTTTCAATAGTTTACATTAAAATATGCACATTCAGTCAGTCTGTTAGCTGAGTATTTGAAGTAATCTTATATTATGTATACATGTATATATAAAACTTAGTTACGTTTTTCGGTAAATGTGAAGCACTAGCAAGTATTTCTAAGGGAAATTAAATGACTAATATGTAGCCCTGTTAATTCTTTACTAGGTATAAAGTGAGTTGGATATTTAACCCTTATTCTAATAAATATCTTAAATAGAACAGTCCATCTTTCAGTCTGGACAAAACCATTCATCATTTTCGGGGATTAGTCTCAAAATGAAATCTGACAAAATAGCAAGAAACATAAATATTATGATTGTTACTTTTAGTTCCTATAATATAATGCAGTATAATAAAATAAAATAAAATATTTATATTCAATTAATAAGTTAGATAATTATATCATTTTAATGCCATAAATATAAAGATTAAGTTTAAGGTCTTTAAAACATAGATTAGGATTGAGCATCGCCTAAAGATATTGTCTGTGAACATTAATGTCCTAAAAACATAAACTTTAGGGACATTCAATGCCCTGAAAATGGATGTCAAAACGTTCTCATAATGTAGGTACATGTATTAATGGGACATTTAAGGTGTTAAATCTATAGACTGGATCATTGAGGTCCATTTTTGCACTCAAAATATTAATTTGGGATAAAAAGGTCTCAAAGATGAATGAATTGTATACCAAATAGGTGTAAAGGCTTTAGGATGAAAGCTTTAGAAAGCCATTAAAGACATTTGAATTGAAATCCTATTCAATTAAAATGTATATTAAAAAGAGAAAATGAAATAATTGTACTTTTAAAATTTCCCAACCCAGACAGATATGTTGTGACAATATTAAGGTCTGTTTAAACGACCTTTTCATAAGGTTTTAGAATCAATTGGTAATCAATACGAGAAATAAATAAATCTATTTAAAGCTGTTTAAATATTCATGACAGGTTTGTGTAGGATTATCAGATAAAAGGATTAAATGTATAAAGAGATTAAGGTGAAATAGGCGTCCTGAAATACCGTCAGATAAAGTGAAGGAAAAAATTGTTATAACATTGGTTTTTGGCATCTGTCAAGTTAATTTATGGCAACTAAATTTACCAGTTTGACCAGTATGGACCAAGATCACTGCTGTCTGATCATAGTTCAGTATGACCAGTGCTGGCAAGACATAGACCTCCATCATCATTTGGCAACTCAAAAAGTACATAAAAATACCACCATTTAAAGGGTATTGTTTCGAATTTTAGCAATCGTGTATATATTTTGAAAGTTTTGCCTAAAATGATAAATGGTGTGGTCCAGATTGAAAGATGGAAGTCCTTTTAAGATCATTTAGGCGTGGTATTAGGGTTAAGTATATTTATAGTGTAAAAGTTTGAAAATATTAACATTCTATCAATATATATAGTTTTTATATGCCCGAAAGAATTTCGGGCATATTATGTTATACCCCCTGGCGTCCGTCTGTCCGTCCGTCTTTAGCAGTTTGGTTTCCGGAGCATAACTAAAGTTCCATTTGCCCCACAGTATTCAAACTTCATAGGATGATTGCCCATATTGAGTAGAAGACCCCTACAGATTTTGGGGTCACAAGGTCAAAGGTCAAGGTCACTATTACCGTAAACCTGAAAATGGTTTCCGCAGCATAACTTAAGTTCCATTTGGCCCACAGTTTTTAAACTTCATAGGATGATTGTCCGTATTGGGTAGAAGACCCCAATTGATTTTGGGGTCACTAGGTCAAAGGTCAAGGTCACTATTACCGTAAAACTGAAAATGGTTTCCACAGCATAACTTAAGTTCCATAATAAATTGGCCCACAGTATTCAAACTTCATAAGATGATTGCCCATATTGGGTAGAAGACCTGAGATTTTTGGGTCACAGGGTCAAAGGTCAAGGTCACTATTACAGTAAAACTGAAAATGGTTTCTGGAGCATAACTTAAGTTCCATTTGGCCCACAGTTTTAAACTTCAAAGGATGATTGTCCACATTTGGTAGAAGACCCCTATTGATTTTAGGGTCACAAGGTCAAAGGTCAAGGTCACTATTAGCTAAATACTGAAAATGGTTTCCGGAGCATAACTTAGGTTTCATTTGGCCCACTGTATTCAAACTTTATAGGATGATTGTCCATATTGGGTAGAAGACCCCTATTGATTTTAGGGTCACAAGGTCAAAGGTCAAGGTCACTATTACCTTAATACTGAAAATGGTTTCCGGAGCATAACTTAAGTTCCATTTGGCCCACAGTTTTCAAACTTCATAGGATGATTGTCAATATTGGGTAGAAGACCCCTATTGATTTTGGAGTCACAAGGTCAAAGATCAAGGTTACTATCATCTTTAAACTGGAAACAGTTTTCGCTCAATAAATCAAGCATTAATCAACCTACAGCTAAAGTACTTTCGGGCATATAATGCTCCGCCTAGTGGTGCTCTTGTTGCTGTTGTATAAGTATTTTTAACTAAAAATTGTGATCAGGGATCAATTCTCCAACGGTTCCAATAGTGTTCCAAAGCCAAGATATCTGGTAAAAAATTATGAAACAAATACATAAGTTCAATTATTTTATTGTTTCCCAGTACACAGAATGAAATATTCCTTAACAAAATATTATGTTGCTGCATTATGCGGGTTTAACACTTAACCTTTGCAGCTTGTGAAGAATACACAGCTTGTAGAGAATGAAAGTATTCATGCAACCAGTGTAGACCATGTTGCTTGCTTTCACGAACATTTGACAAACAAATTATTCTTTCATATAAATACTTTAATGGGTTATTTTCTTTCTGGATGCAAAGAACTGTAATGTTGGTTTCAGCTTTGGGTTTGAAACCCACCAAGGATTCTGTCCTCTGAGTAAGCTATCAACCTAGCTTCCTCTGAGTAAGCTATCAACCTAGCTTACAAAACATTGTTGGTTCTCTGTGGGTGCCTGTTTGCACCTGAAGTAATGCACTGAATGGCACCTGAGGTCTTCCTCTACCGGTAAAGCTTGAAAGTCACTATTATAGTATATGACCTATACAGCATTGGTGCGACGTAAAAACCCGACCAAAAAAGAAAAGGCAGATGAAATTTAATTTTATAACCATTGTAACTAGTTTCCTTTTTCTATTTTTGTAGCTGCTACACCACGTGTTCAAGAACTGGCAAGGCATAGACCTCCGAGCAAGCACTGGATGGGTGACAGGTATATTATATATGAATAATTATGATAATAAATTATTAACCAAAATTTTTAAATAACCCAATAATCCACCCATTATATCTATGGTAATTAGACATGCAGAAAAAGAAAAATCCTTAACATTTGAAGGAAAAAAAGATTGAAGGGAAAAAAGACCGTCTAATAAGTAATTTTGTGCTTTTTGGAAAGGGATTTAGGTCATAATTATTATGTTTGCAGCAACAAAAAGCAGCTTACTTTGTCAGTTTTTGACAAAAATTACGACCAGAGCTGAAATTAAAGCAATCAAGCACTTGAAATGAGGTTGAGATACCAAGTGACTTAGATTTAAAAATGGTTATCATTTTGGATAGCTTTGTTAGGATTAAAGGTCTATCTTATAATATATATAGATAATGCTTGGACTGATACTCGAAAATGTATGGTATAACAGTCAACCTTTTCAAATGAAAAAGACTTGTAAGTTGTTACTGATAAGTTAAGTGCAAAGATTGAACGACTAAATTTGATATTATTCATAAAATTCACACGCTTTAAATCTTGGCTTAAATTTTCTTTTGTTGCTAAGATAAACTAAAAGAACATTTTTCATTCCGAAAAGTTAATTGATGGTGATTTATTTGAAGAAAGTACATAGAGTATTGAGAGATTTAATACTTTGAACGGTCTAATAATAAGGTCATGATGTCAAAACTAGAATTCAATTCTAAATAAGAATGGGAAAATAAAATAATTGTATGTTGTTTGTAAAGAGGTTATGATCCTAAAAGCTAGGGTATTTAGTCATAAATAACAATTTTAATGTTATCATTACAAGGACTTAGTTTGGAGTTATATAAGACTTTAGAGTATCAGATATAGAGGATATTGAATGAGTGTAGGCTCAATACTGAATTTATTGAATAAAATTATAATATGCTAGCCTCTGGCTTTCAGTTTCTCTACTTGTAATAGAGTTGGTAAGCAAACAGCATGGATCCTGATCAGACTGCATGGAGGCGCAGGCTGGTGTGGATCCATTCTGGTCGCAAACTGATTATGTTGGTTTTGTCGTGACGCGGCTCATTTATCATTCATCTCTCATCCACCATGTTTCAGACCGTCACCAGCTTCTGTAAGTAAATCAGCATTAAACGCTATAGCATCGGAACATATCAAAGCAATAAGTCTGCCTAACTTGCTCTCGCCATATTATCAATTTGATCGTCCCCAACCAGTTCCTGTGAATGAGAAGGCCCTGACAGCGAAACTTACGGCAAGTTTTGAACGTCTCGCTATACCAAGGTACACCCAAGAGCAAGAAATGAACCGGTTTAACCGGAATTTTATCGAGGAGACAAAGTTACCATTTATACCGGAAGAGGCTAGGTTTTATGTGCCAATAAGCAAGCGTCTTCTAGCGATATCTGTTCCACGCCTTGATCCTCTTGAGACTGATGATTTTCTGTTAAGACAGGATCCTTTTGCTGTAAAATCAGGTGCCTTAAAAGCATCTATATCAAAACGATTGACCGAGCTGTCAAATCCAAGAAGCAAATTGGATATGCAAGAAATCTATAATGCTTATAAAGTGTCGCAGAAAGCTTTGAGAGCAAAATGTACACCACGACTTAAAGAACTTTGTCTTCCGGTGGAAAGTAAAAGACGGACAAAACCACCGGAAAAGAAGAAGTCAAAGAAACGACCTTTTCGGTTATAAAATTGAGCTTTATGATTTGAAGTAATGTGGAAAGATATGTTACAAAATGGTGAACATTCTTTTGAAATGGGAACAATCAGTGCTAATTCAGTGGCTTTTAGTCTTATGACATAATTGTCACAGTTTTTCTGAAGGCTTTTCTCATATTTTTTTTGGTTTTAAGTTTTTGAAAATTATTTTCCTTTTAATGTGCAAACTATTTTTAGCTCACCTGAGCATATGCTCAGGGTGAGCTATTAGGATCACTCTTCGTCTGTCGTACGTCGTCCGACTTGTCCGTTCACACTTTTAAAACGACATCTCCTCTAAAACCATAAGGCAGATCATAATGAAACTTCACAGGGATGCTCCTTGTGTGAAGCCTTAACAAAGTTGTTCAAAGAATTCCATTCCATGCAGAACTCTGGTTGCCATGGCAACCAAAAGAAAAAACTTTGAATATCTTCTTCTAAAAAACCCAAAGAGCTAGAGCTTAGATATTTGGCATGAAACATCTTCTAGTGAGTGTCTACCAAGTTTGTTCAAATAAAAGCCTTGGGGTCAAAATTGGCCCCGCCCCAGCGGGTCATTGATTTTCCCTATATGCATATAGTAAAAACTTAAAAAATCTTCTTTTAAAGAACCCAAAGAGCTAGAGCTAAGATATTTAGCATGAAACATCTTCTAATGGATGTCTACCAAGTTTGTTCAAATAAAAGCCCTGGGGTCAAAATTGGCCCCGCCCCAGGGGGGTCATTGATTTTCCCTATATGCATATAGTAAAAACTTAAAAAATCTTCTTTTAAAGAACCCAAAGAGCTAGAGCTTAGATATTTAGCATGAAACATCTTCTAGTGAGTGTCTACAAAGTTTGTTCAAATAAAAGCACTGGGGTCAAAATTGGCCCCGCCCCGGGGTCATTCATTTTCCTTATAGGTGTATAACAAAAATTTAAAAAAATCTTCTTTGAAAAAACTCAAATAGCTAGAGTTTAGATATTAAGCACGAAGCATCTTCTAGTGAGTGTCTACAAAGTTTGTTCAAATAAAAGCCCTGGGGTCAAAATTGGCCCCGCCCCGGTGGACATTGATATTCCTTATATGTGTATAGCAAAAATTTAAAAAATCTTCTTTGAAAAAACCCAGAGTTCAGCTATTAAGCATGAAACAATTTCTAGTAAGTGTCTACAAAGTTTGTTCAAATAAAAGCCCTTGGGTCCAAACTGGCCCTGCCCCAGGTGTGTCATTGTTTTTAACTATATGTGTAAAGAAAAAACTTGACCAGCTAGACCTTAGATGTTTTGCATAAAACATCTTCTAATGGGTGTCTACCAAGTTTGTTCAAATAAAAGCCCTGGGGTTTAAACTGGCCCCGCTCCGGGGGCCTTTATACAGGTGAGCGACTTCAGGGCCATCATGGCCCTCTTGTTCTTACAGAACATCACTTTTTTGTTCAAAGTAATGAATTTTTCAGTGCTATAGGTCAGTTTTGCATAATATTATTTGTTTTGCATTTATTAATCATATTCAAGAGTGTAAGACAGGACTGAGTAAAATAAGAATAAACTTGCAAGATTTGTCAATATATTTTCATGTGCATAGTTTTTTATGCTCTTAACACATTTTGCACCACACATTTTGCACCACACATTTTGTACAACACATTCTGTACCAAATAGTTTGCACCAAATAGTTTGTACCACATATTTCACACCACAAATTTAGCACCACATATTTTTTGCCACATATTTTGCACCACATTTTCATGCAAATCAGCACAAAGAACTGATATCACAGTTAGCTGATAGATAGTCTGCTGCAAAACTGTTTTCTCACTAATTGCGTGCACTTAAAACTTAAATTGTCTTCAATATAAATCTTCACAAGCAAGTTGGTTGACATATGAATTACAATGGCAAGAAATGGTTTGGAAATCCTTAACGGCTGTTTTTAAGTTTCAAAGTACTTACAAAAGACTCCACAGCAAATTTTTGACATCCTGTCTTACAACAGTAAGAAAAAACAGATACCACACATGAAGGATTAGATACCTTACAGGGAGCATTAGATCAACTGTTTAATAATTTACATGTTTGTGAATTGAATGACAGCCACCAATTGAGGAAAATCTTTTGGTACCTACCACGAGGGATAAAACTTTTGTATCGGAGATTACTTCACGGATATCATAATATTGACTCAATCATTCACTTCATTATAAGAAATTATTAATATGTAATAATTATGTTATTACAAGTTTTTCGGTACAGAATTAAGCTGCAATTCGGCACATAATTAAGCTGTGATGCGGTACAGATTACACATCAAGTTCAGGCATTCATCTTACAATTTGAATTCATTCAATCATTTTTTACTTTAAACCTCTATATATTATTTAAGAATATCAATATAAAACCCTTTTTTATTGGCTCTCGTAAATAACATCGTGCATTAAAATCCTTTTTATTGGCTCTTGTAAATATCATCATGCATTCCCATCATGCATCTGTGTATTTATACGTTGCCACAACTACATTTTTGTAGACGGGGATTGGGTTCACATGAAATGATCAATTTTGACTTAACTCTACTACAGTAGTCATATAGTTTTAACTATTAACTAAAATTTTCCTTAGTATTTCTGGAGGGAATTACTTTTAATAAAGTAACTCTTTTGCAGTAAGTTATGGAAATTTTAAGTTTAATCACACATTAAAAAAATAGAATTTTTTATTACCGATTTATGTTGTATGTTGTGATATATATAAACAACAGAAGAATGACTGTTTAAATGTATTTACACACATAGTTCTTAAGTATGCTGTGTTTGTTATGAAATACATTTTTGAAAACCAGTTTTTGATATTGAAGTGTCGGGAAGTGGTTTATGCACTTATGTGTGATTTAATTTTTTTTCAGAATAACCCCAATGTGGCCTGTATCAGAAGATGCTAAAAATGCACCAACTACAGAACGCATTCAACTACTGAGCAGACACAAATCATTTTTAGATCACAGAATGGAACGATCCCCATACATGTATGTCAGTGAATCGGCCAAACGGGCAACGCCAAGTCAAAGATTGGAGCAACTCTCTGTACCAAAGCAACGCCAGGATCGATATGGAGTTTACGAAACAGAATGGGGTCAGTATAATGAGGTTTCGCCTGCGGCCATGAAGGCATCTCACACTGAGCGTATAGAATCACTAGCACAATCAAAAAGTTATCATAAAGATTTCAAAGATGAGCGAAGTATACAGTGGACTGTGGGTAATTCGGCATTGAATGCTATCGCCACTTTAAGAATGCAGCAGTTGGCACGTCCAAGAAGTAGAACAATGATAAAAGATGATTACGACCCCTATAAAATTTCGCCGTCTGCTAAACGCGCTCGGTGTACTCCTAGAGTAGATGAGTTATGTGTACCACTTCCGAGGAAAGTTAGACAAAAGAAGGTTGCCTAAGTATTGTAAAATTGTTAAATATCAATTTGATAAATTTAAAAATCTACACTTCATTTTTTTATTTTTTTTCACTGTTGAAAGGATATGTTGTTGTTGTTAAAGTTAGTTAAGATGATATGCTGCTTTGTTCGTTTCTAACAGACATACAATATTTTAACGTATGCACTTTTTACACGGGCTTATTGTTCTGTTATATGCTGTTATATGCTTAAACTTGACAGAATTTTTGTGAACTTCAAACCCACTTCACCACATACCATGAAATAATCATCGTTCTTTCACTTTAAATAGAAATTAAAACATTGGCTTTTTAACCATTGCATATATAAACATGGAGGAAGATTTTATTGTGTATTTTTTTTTTTACTATAATTTTTTTTTGCAAATTTAACTGGTTAAGGTAGCACAAAGAAAAAAATTGCATTTAACACCATAATTATTTGACCTTGATATAAAAGGTCATCAATATGGTGGTGGTCTTGTTTTCAACTGATCTCGGTGAGGATTTAGTTTCGTTTACAGTTTTTAGTTGACACATAGAAAAAGATTTAAAGGAAATATTTTGTTAAATATTCAGATTTTTTTTTTTTTTTTAAAAGGGTTGTTCCAAAATTAACAATACAATTTAGGGATATAACTGTTATTTGCTAATGATCAGCATCATATAGATAGGCTAATTTCATTATGTGAACTGGGACATAAAATAATGGAACAAGCAACTGCAGATTAGCTGTGTTTTATCTTTTTCGTCCAATCAGACTCATTGGCGGCCATTTTGTATTGTAAAAGGTTTGTTTTTTTGTTCATGGTAAAAAGAGAGAGAGAGAAACATGAGCCTTCAGGGATAGTTTATAATTGTGCTTTAGTATTTAAATGGTATTTTAATTTGTCAATTTAATTTTATATATTTTAGGCATAAGTTCATGTTTTAATTACTTTGCTTTATCTTTGATCCATTGACTGTTAACTGGACACCTACATGAATCTGCTTATCTTTTAGGTAGTTGCTTTTTACCATTTTATGACATCCCAAATGTGCAAAATTTATAAAACTGCATGATTACTTCCCTTGATTATAACAAAAATAAATTCCTAACTTGCAGCACATGAGAATAAACCATCATATAAATGATTGTCCAATCAAAATTGATGTTATAAACATGAAGTAATAAAATGTACTAAATGCTAATTAGTATACATGTTTTATCAATGCCAGAATTCATTTTTGATATCATATGTGCACTTGGCATTAAGTACTTCATATAATATGTGACTTGTGTGATTGTGTGTAACAGAATTCACTTTGCATGTCAATGATGATTTTTAAGCAAACTTTTTTTTATCGTTTTATAAAGTACATATGGAGGCCCAAAACTACATATGGAGGCCAGAAACTTATTTTTTATTTTGAATATGCATGTTTTTACTTTTATAATGCAGGCTTTATGAAATTAAAGTTTTTCTTGTTCCTTTGAATATATTATACAGGTATTATAATTTAGATTTAACCCTTAACCTGCTGGAAACAAAAGTGGTTGGCCTTTTCTGCTAGACTCGAGCCAGGCCAGCTTGTACTTTTGTTGTGCTGTCCGACCAGTCTCTATACTGGTGGTAGCTTAATTTTTGTATTTTGATATCCAGAAATCCCTTAAAATTTCAATGGACTGCTCCAATTTCAAGGATGGGAAAATCCATTTTACTAATTCAGTAAGTTTAGGGTTAAAATATTTGTAATTTAAAGCTGTGATAACTGCAGTGTGTACAATCTTGTTTTTTATTGCTCAAGTTCTACATGATTATTTTGTACTTATAGATTTTTCACAGTGTATTATGCTAGGCTGTTGATGAAATTAATTGTAAAATATATTGTATTATAAATTATATATGTTATATATATGTTGTATTATTCCACGTTTGACGTGCTGCACAAAAATAAAATCTGGTGAATTTCTTGATAGAAACATTTACAACTCCATTTTATTTTCACTGCAATGAAATATATTTCCGATTTTCCAAGTCATGATGCATGATTATAACATGTATAATTTCATTGCAGTGAATGATATTTTTAGTATTCTCATGAATGGAATTTCTTATTTGGAGAAAGACTTCGCTGAAAAAAGCCATTGCTTTAAATACATCCAAAGTTGTCATTTATATTAAGAAATTTAAAGAAAATTGACAACATTTTGCTTTTACAATATGAAAAGAGCAAGAAATTCACCAGATCAAATTATAAGGTTTGCTGTGTTTTTATTGTTTTTTTTTTAACTGTTTCACGTGCAATATGTAACTTCCCTCACATAGTGATGTCCCTATCAGTATTCCATATTTGTTTGTAATATTTTTATCATGTTATTAAGGCCATAAATAATCTAGCTTTTGCTTCCTTTTTCCTTGTTAGTTGAATTTTTAGGGGGAAAAAAAACAGAACCAAAAAATAAAAGCACCAAAATTTGAAACCAGTCTATTATTCTGAAATGTCTGATTGGTTGAAATATAACTCATATTTATTTAAAGACTGTGTTGCAGAAATTTTCAGTAGAAGTATATTTTGAGATCAAATTTAAAGTAAAGCAGAATAGTTATTTTTGCATTTTATGTAAAATGACCGCAAATCAAAGCATTTTATTGAATGGCCTATATGTAAATTATTATTAATCTTTATTATAATTTTTTTCGCCATCTTTACCACAAGCGGCAGTATTTTTTCAAAATGAGAACCAAAATTAGGTTAATACAAAAAACAGCTAACTTTCTAGTGGATTTGCAAGAGAATGTTGCTTTTTGTGTTTTCCTCATTTTGGCAGTGTATTAAATAATGTAATCTTTGTTTGAAGTGATATAAAGTGTTCTTTGGGCCATGTCACATGTATCTGCAGAGAGCTAAATGGGTTTGCCTTCTGTGCTAATCCAATGGTAGGCTGTTGGCACTCACCTTGCTGAACAGATGTCATCTGTAGCTCGGGAAATATGGAATTATCTAAGCTTAAATCTCCCAGTACAAACATTAATATTTTACGGTTATAGCTGTGAACTACCGGTCACAATTGATTAGTCAACTTGTTGTGCTTATTTTCGAAGTTGTAACTGTAAAAGTTTGTTTTTATCCCTGGATTAGCTGGGAAAACTCCAAAGAAAGTCTATTTTTGTCATCGACTTTCCTTTTAATTTAAGAAATCAAAGAGATATCTTTGTCAAAGTACATTGAATTTAGCAGTCAACAGTATCTTGTGTGGTCAGACAGCAAACCTCCATATGCTGGCTCTGCATATTTGTTTTGCTTTATACAAGTGGTCTAGTAAAGGTGGTCATTGTGTACCTGATATTTTCCAGTCTGGGTCTGAAAGAACCTATGTAGAATAATGCTCAAAACGGTCTTTTTATAAGTTGTTCAAGTTGAACTGCTAAGCTCGGACTGACAGAGACCTTCCAAGGCTTATACTGGCCTTTTTATAAAGAAGGCAAACCTATTAAGTCTGCTAGACAATTAAGCATTGCAAGGAAGAATAATGCTAGGAAATATATTTCTAACAATATACGTATACCCAAGCATGTGACATGGCTTAGACAACTGGGTTTGATTTATAATCAACAATGTATATCTAATATTATATCAGTCATATTTTTGTATCATATGTATTTTCATAAGATGAAAATGTTTGAAATTGATTCAATATGGAAAAAAATTCACATTAACCCTTTCCCCCATGATATTGTGAAAAATGGCCATTTTCACTGAAAAGCCTCCTCTCACAAGTTCAAACTGCTATGAAACTATGAAAAATGCTTCAATACTAATCAAACTTGGCACAAATGTTGACTGGACAATTGCCTTTGTAACGACATGCTCAGTCTTAAATTTCCTGTTACCATGGCAACGAGGGGACATCTCAAAATTGCCAAAAATCACTTTTTTGCCTCGATTTTTTCCATCAAAATTTATTTCAAAGTGCTGCAACTTCTAAAGGGATTGAGATAGAGTCAAAGGCTTTTCAGCGTTGGTTACACGTTACCTTATGATCGACCTGGGGTCATTATAAGCCTCTCACAAGTCCAAAATTTTCTTGGCAATGAGGGGGACTCCGCCCCCCTTCAAACCCCCCAAACAGAAGGGGGCACATCCCCCTTCTGGCAACCCCCTGATGTAATATTTGGATGGGGGACGGCGCCGAAAAAATGGTCAATTTTTTTAACAACATTTCTCAAACGAAAAACAGTGTTTGGGGCCTAAATAGGGCATTTTTTCACTGTTTGAGGCCTCAAAAAGGGGGGGGGGGGCAAAAAGCCGTCGAAACACGCTTATATAAGGGAAAAGGTTAATAGAGGTATAGGGTACAGATTATGAAAATATATATTTTATCCAATGTTAAAATAATCAAAATTGTTTGTTAATGCTTTTCGCTCAGTATTGTTGAATCACAGTATTATAGATTAGTCACATAATTATGCCAAGTATAGGTGTTTATTATTTTTACAGACAGTATTTACACACATTGTTAACAAATTTTTTACATTATTTATTGGTGCACTTTACTAATAGAAGAGAATTTAGCTTCAGCCCTAATAGTAGATATTTTATAGTCAAAGAAAAATAATACGATAGCAATAGGGTAATATGTTTATCGATACTTGTTTTATTAGATTTCACGCCTGCTCAATAATATGGAAGGCTCACATTTGATTTACTGGGTGTGAATATGGAACTAAATAAATAAATTCATGTAAAAATAATTACAATGTAGTTAAAACACACATACATGTGCCTTTTGCTGTTTTCCAATACTGGTGGCATAGGCTTTCCATAGTTGTTGCATAGAAATGTTGACATTATTTCATTTTATAAAATATGGTAATAATGTTATCATAGGCTTTCCATAGTTGTAGAAGTTGAAAGAAGTTATTTATATTTTTTGCTAGTTATGCACTGAATAAGCTTTTGCTTACTTTTCACTTGATTGTTCATTTCTGATCTTGCCCAAGTTTAATTAGTTTTGGAAAGTCTTTAAGTATTCTATTAGAGAATATGGACATTGACAGAGATATAGGTGTTACATGGCTATTGTCTTTTTTTTACCTATAATTATGTCACTTGTCAATTATATGTCACATACTGATAATTAGATGTCACATGCCTGATGATGTTCTTTAGCTTTAAAGTCAGCCTTTATTTTGTAAACTATGATTGTTAAGGTACAGTAAATTTTGTGATAAATTGCTATGGTTTACTTGATGTACGTGAACATTTGTATCTCATTTCAGGACACATTTTTGAAATTAAAACATAAATTTTTGAAATATATACACATACATATATTATATGAATACATAACTGTATCAAAACAAGTATGCTGAGGCTGTTCTCATATAGTGTGTGTTATTTCACTATGTAAAAGATAAAATAAAACTTGAGTTTATGAAATATTTTTAAAGAAGTGTCCATGGACAAGTGATTTAGATCATTGGTTTCAAACCACTTGCCTCTCACCGCTGTAGGCTTTAGCCGCCCAAAGCATCGTAGATTCTTCATGTGAGAAAGCTTTCCACTACTCAGATATAATGCACAGAGGGGCATCTGAGGTGTTCCTCCACAAGAAAAACAGTTAAAGAAATAGAATATTTTTAAGAGGCTGAAGATTATTTTGAAAATAAAAATATATGTTCGGTTTAACAAACCTGTCTCAGTAAAGAAAGCCACCTGTGTGTATATTCATAAATCATGTATTTTACCTACTGTTTTGTATATAGTCATTGTTAAAATCATGTTTCTATTTTAGCTACATATATATATTTATCAAAGCTTTATCTGTGATGTTTTCAATAATGTATTATTTGTATATTGTATTATATTTTTTTGTGATATTCCTTGTTGTGGTTTTTGATTAAAATAAAAGATTTCCTCTTTGAAAAAAATCTGCATTTTTCTTTATCCCCTGGTTTATTGCATTTTGTGATTTAATCCTTAGCTTGCTAGTAGCCTTGCCACCAGTGTAGAACAACTGGAGTCTGAGCAGGCTTTTGACTAAAGAACTATCCCTTCAGATAATAGACGCTATCCCTTTTAGACATGAAACAGTCCCACCAGACATTATATAAAGCAGTTGTAGAACTATCCCTTATGCCATCAGACTAATGGCAATTTTTTATAACTTGAGTATATGACCAAAAGGTGATGCTACATGCCAAACATGTAAGCTATGGGTATTATAGCTTCATGAATGAAGATTTTAAATGTCTTTTTTTCCAAAATATGTCTATATAAGCTGGATGAACCTATGACAGGTCTAATTTTGACATAATATATCTGTTCTGGAAGACCACAAAATGTTTTGTCACTCCAAATACCTTGGCACCGAGTACTGTGGTTGATTAAAAAAAAATTTATTCTGAAAGTCCAAGACTGGAACCATTTATCATACCTTTGTGGATGGCCATCTAAAGAGAACCATTCCTGTGAAGTTTGGTTAAAATTAAATATGTACTTTATGAAGTAATTTTGCTTTGTGACAGATGGACATAAGTTAATCACAAAAGCACAGTACACATGCTCAGATGAGCAAAATAAGACTTGAGAGGATAGTGGAGGATTTTTTTTATGTTCATGAAGGGGAATACAAAAGTTACTAGTAATTTCTGTCCCAGCATTATTGCTCATCATCAGTGATCTACAATTTTATAGACATGTTTGAAGTTTCAAGAGATAACATACAGACTGATAGTGTGAGTTTTTTTGAGCAATTGGTCAAAATCCATCCTAGAATAATGTTAGTCTTAATCAGTGACCTAAAATGTTGATTCTACAAGTATCATAATTATGCCAATTTAATAATCTTTGATGGTTAATAAGATGGGGTCATGTGATGTCTACCTGACACTAAGGTGTGTAGGAAACCCCTTCTGTAACTTAAAAAGTTCCCTAGGGTGTGTAGAACATCCCTTTTGTAACTTAAAAAGTTCAACAAAAAAGGATATAATAACAACGGAAATCAAAACTATATTTTGTGTAATTTTATTCATTTATCATTTATTAACAATGGACAAAAGACAGAATTAAGTAATCACCCTTTGACCAAAACAAAAACTTGAATAGTTATACACAGTGTACTTATTCCAATATGACCTTACTGATAACAAGGTCGTCACACCACTTTATATAGTAATTATGTGATAACGAATGACAAAGTTGTAATTTACAATTTAATATAATATACAGTAGAACCAGTGCAAAGAAACACCCTTTGAGACAAAGATTTTGGTATCTGTTTGAGAGGTATTGCTTTAGAGGTTAAATCTATGGTGAAGTGTTACTCTGTAAAAATTTGATACTGATGTGATTCTTGGTCTACAGAGGGCCTTTCTGCAGAGGTTGCACTGTAGTCATATAACATGAAATGTTTGAAATGCCAATTTTCATTGGACAATTAATGGGCTATATAACATGAATTGTTTGAAATGCCAATTTTCATTGGCAGTTAATATTAAAGAATTGTTTACTGTAAACAGTTATTTTCTGTATGACCCTTACTTTATGCCTAGGTTATATATATAATATTTTATAACCATCAGATCCTGGGGCATATAACCTATCAACTTTTTTTCATACAAAGTAATATACCAGCAGTTCACATAATCTTATTTCAGATACTAGTATCACTTTATTGTCAAAGATATTTGGCATGATAAAGAGATTGTTCTCTAACCAAATTAATTTAGCAATTAAGCAAACCGGACACAAATGTTTTAGACAAATACCTTCCACTTTAATGCTTCTAAATATAGCACCAGTTGATAAAAAGTGTTTAACATACAAGAATTGGTGCGCCCTATAGGTTATCTTTTAAAAATGTGTATTCACAAAACTCAAGGTAATACAATTACATGTGTTGGTTGTAAAAAATGCAGCATCATTTTCATAATAAATATGATACAGTATCAATATACAAGTAAATGCAGGGGTTGAAAATTCTGTCCGTTCACCCGCAGTGACGAGTAAACATAATAATTGTGTAAATTAAATTTTATAAGGTTATTTTCACACAAACTGACCACAATTTAGAATATTTAACCGTTCATTTTAATGTCACATGTATTTAGAAAAACATACATAAGAAAGTCAATGACTAATATAGATAGATGTTGATCTTTAACACGGGAGTTTTCATATAGACATACAGGCAAAATAAAAACTTTTCAATAGAATTTCTTTAAACTTGGCATGTTGTTAGAATATGATAACAGAAACATTTTATGCGTTCTCGTTTTTGAGTTGCCCAAGTTCTTGAGTTAAATTGGTCTGTTTCAAATGTTTTTTCTTATTGGCATCTAACTATTATATGTATTTATATGACATAAATGTCCAGCCAACTTAAATGATTACAAAACAGTTGCAATTTTGATAACATTAGTTCATCATACTTCATCAACCACATTACAATACTGATTAACTTATATATATATATATTTATACAGTATATTTACACACGTTATTATTAACATTCCATTGGATCTTTTTTTTTCTATAAAAATAGTATTTCTCTATATATATCCTCTTTCTCAAGAAAAATATGAAATAATCATCATAAAATCACAATAACCATACTACCATATTTTGAATTATTGTAACTAAACTATAAAACCATCAATCAAAAAAAAAGAAAAAGAATATTCTTTTGATAGGGGCATCATGTTCAATTCTTTCAATTTAAGTTAAATCATTAAGATAACTAGGTTTTTATATTAATTTTTATGTATACATAACATACATGTATGTATAAAGCTGTTCGAAATGTACAAATTTTTTAATGTTTAATAAAACAGTAATACTGGCTAAGTATCTTTTTAACAATTTGGAATGTTTGATTATCAAAATAATAAATCAGTCCTGTTAAAGTTATTGTCACACACTAAAAAGTGTGCAAAACTTTATTCCAATCAATTTCTGTAATGGACTTGTAATGCTTTGAAAATGGAAAAATTCACCATTAGTTTAAAGTGTAACAAGCAATTATCATAGTATTGCAAGCAATCCATAAGTCCCCTACCGGTTAGAACCCCATCAACATTCTGAAGGGCCATTGGTCATTCACTAATGTTTCAATTTTTCTCTATTTTAAGTAAATTTGTTGGAAAAGTTCTTTAAAAGTGATCACAGGAAACAGTTTTTATGAACAGACAGACAGACGGACTGAAGGACACTGTAAAGTTAATATTTGAAACATCCCTGTTACCAAAATATAACATTTTAAAAGCAAAATTCTTAAAGAGGAGATAACTCTTGAATTAAAGATGCAATTTCATAAAAAAATTCAGCTCTTTTTGACTAATCACAAATATTGTTATATTTGCCATGTTTTAAGCCTATTTGTTGCCAAGGCAACCAATATTTTTTCAAAATAGGAAGAACAGATAAGACATGCATAATCTCAAGACTGCCATCTACCCATATGTCAAGTTTCACAAAAATATTTCCAGTACTTTTTGAGTTTTCACTGGATTCAGTTTATGTGTAAAATTTGCCATATTTTCAGTCTATGTGTTGCCATAGCAACCAGAATTTTCAACATAGGAAGAAAAGGAAAAGACGTGCATAATCTCCAGACTGCCATCTACCCATATTACAAGTTTCATAAAAATATTTCTATTACTTTTTGTGTTAACACTGGATCCAGTTTATGTGTAAAATTTGCCATATTTTCATACTATTTGTTGCCATAGCAACCAGAATTTTCAACATAGGAAGAAAAGGAAAACATGGCATAATCTCCAGACTGCCATCTACCCATATGTCAAGTTTCATAAAAATATTTCCAGTACTTTTTGCATTATCACTGGATCCAGTTTATGCGTAAAATTTGCCATATTTTCAGCCTATTTGTTGCCATAGCAACCAGAATTTTCAACATAGGAAGAAAAGAAAAAGACGTGCATAATCTCCATACTGCCATCTATCCATATATCAAGTTTCATAAAAATATTTTCAGTACTTTTCAAGTTATCGTGGGATCCAGTTATGTGGACTGACGGACTGACAGACAGACGGACGGAGGGTAAACCTTAAGTCCCCTCCGGTAAACCGGTAGGGGACATATAAAATGAATGAATCATGCTCAAAAAAATCTATTATTATTGATGTTGATCAAAGTAATAGAGGATATTGAGTGAATGTAGATTCAATACTATTTATTGAACTTGTTGACTAAAACAATATCATGCTGGCCAGAGGCTGGCAATATAAGATTTTATTCAATAAGTTAAATAAATTTAGCATTGAATCTACATTCATTCAATATTATGTTTATCACATATATAACATAAGAATGGTTTACAGTTAAAAGGAGTAATTTTCATTGACGCGCCTACAGTGTAACACTAACACCAACACGCTTTAACGCTATATTTGTATACAAAGCAAATGATGTCACATCAAAATGATATTACATTAGTGTAATATTGTTTTTATTAAATGAGTTTATTACACTCCTTCACCATTGTTTATGTGTTAAATATGTTTAAACAAGGGTTTACACCACTTCCTACAGCTCAGTCTCAAACAAACAAATTAATAAATAAACAAGAGGGCCATGATGGCCCTGAGGTCGCTCACCTGTATAAAGGCACCCGGAGCGGGGCCAGTTAAAACCCCAGGGCTTTTATTTGAACAAACTTGGAAGACACCCATTAGAAGATGTTTCATGATGTTAAGTTTTTACTACACACATATAATGAAAAACAACAATCTATCTCCTCCCCCCTTTCCCCCTCCCCCCGGCAGGGCCAATTTTAACCCAAGGGCTTTTATTTGAACAAACTTGGTAAACAACCATAAGAAGATGTTTCATGCTTAACATCTAAGCTCTAGCTCATTGGGTTTTTTTCAAAGAAGATTTTAAAGTTTTTGCTATACACATATAAGGAAAATCAATAACACCCGGGGCTTGGCCAATCTTGACTCCAGGGCTTTTATTTGAACAAAATTTGTAGACATTCACTAGAAGAAGTTTCATGCTTAATATCTAAACTCTAGCTATTTGGGTTTTTTCAAAGAAGTTTTTTTAAGTTTCTGCTATTCACATATAAGGAAAATCAATGACCCCCGGGGCGGGGCCAATTTTGACCCCAGGGCTTTTATTTGAACAAACTTGGTAGACACCCATTAGAACATGTTTCATGCTAAATATCTTAGCTCTAGCTCTTTGTGTTCTTTAAAAGAAGATTTTTTAAGTTTTTACTATATGCATATAGGGAAAATCAATGACCCCCTGGGGCGGGGCCAATTTTGACCCCAGGGCTTTTATTTGAACAAACTTGGTAGAAACTCATTAGAAAATGTTTCATGCTAAATATCTTAGCTCTAGCTCTTTGGGTTCTTTAAAAGAAGATTTTTTTAAGTTTTTACTATATGCATATAGGGAAAATCAAAGACCCCCTGGGGCGGGGCCAATTTTGACCCCAGGGCTTTTATTTGAACAGACTTGGTAGACACTCACTAGAAGATGTTTCATGCTAAATATCTAAACTCTAGCTATTAGGGTTTTTTCAAAGAAGATTTTTTAAGTTTTTGCTATATGCATATAGGGAAAATCAATGACCCCCTGGGGCGGGGCCAATTTTGACCCCAGGGCTTTTATTTGAACAAACTTGGTAGACACTCATTAGAAGATGTTTCATGCTAAATATCTTAGCTCTAGCTCTTTGGGTTCTTTAAAAGAGGAGTTTTTAAGTTTTTACTATATGCATATAGGGAAAATCAAAGACCCCTGGGGCGGGGCCAATTTTGACCCCAGGGCTTTTCTTTGAACAAACTTGGTAGACACTCATTAGAAGATGTTTCATGCCAAATATCTAAGCTCTAGCTCTTAGGGTTTTTTAGAAGAAGATATTTAAAGTTTTTTCTTTCGGTTGCCATGGCAACCAGAGTTCTGCATGGAATTAAATTCTTTGAACAATTTTTAAAGGTGACCACCAAAGGAACATTCCTGTGAAGTTTGGATGAAATTGGCTTAGTGGTTTATGAGGAGATGTCATTTAAAGTAAAAGTTTACGGACGGACGACGCCGGACGGACGACGGACGAAAAGCGATCACAAAAGCTCACCATGTCACTTTGTGACAGGTGAGCTAAAAATTAACATAGAGTAAAAATCATAAATGAATATAAATTACACACATAGATAAATCTCAATAAATAAATGAACAGTTTTTGTAGATCAATATGTGGAGACTTCTACCATCCCTCACAGCACTAAATATATGAAAATTGTAAATAAACTTAAGTTAAACAACAATAACAACATAAATCATCTCCATCATATATATATACATGTATATATATAAAATCTCAAACCAAAACAGAAAGCATAACAATCTAATTGCATAACTTATCATTATTGTTTTTATGTGTATGACAAACAAGACTTAACGGGTTTAAAACTGAATATGGATTTTTGTAGAAAATTTGCCTCGAACTTAAATATAAATTTGCACTTAAATAGAAAATCCTAACATGCTTCACACTATTCCCCTATTAAACAGTTCTAGGACATTATTACATAATATATGCACAGCATTGAAGTGGAATTCTAATCTTACACATCATTTTACATCAGATCTGATGTCAAAAAACCAAATGACATCAGGAAAATTACTTGTACGCTCAATGTAGTTTAACATAAATTTATCAATGTTTTTTTTTATTAGCATGTTAGATGGAAATAGATATTAAATTTTCTTGCATTTTAGTATAATAATGCACATTTTCTCATTCAAATGCTTTGTAATTCATCACTGGGGTCTATTGGCCTTTCTGATTATATTCCTATGCATTTGAACTCAAACTGTGCATTACTCCACAATGCAATCTAAATTGATATCCATTTCCGAAACAAAACTGAAGAGCAATTGTAAATTTCGCAAATTCATTACAAGAATTCAGCAGGCCTAATTGCATGCTGAAAGTACATCTTCATTATCTATTGTATGTTGTGTTCCATTTCAAGTGCACCTGTCGACCTAAGTTGAAATTTGAAAATTTATGATTTTATGCATAATTGACCTCAGTGAAGCTCCGTTAAAATTTAAAACATACATTTTATATTTGTACCAAAATTTGTATATTACAAGCTTATAATCAAAGTAACCAAATAAATTTTTAAAGCCCACCCTCGATTAATAGTTGTGCATAGTAGCTTATATAAAACATATATGGACATTTGGTGGAGAGGAGAGCCTTTAACCTTAAGCCTGCTGGCAGCAACAGGTTCTACCAATGCAGCCAGTGTAGACCAAAATCAGTCCGCTCATCTTGTGCCATCTGATCATGGTCTGCACTGTTCGCTATTCAGTCAGTACATATTTTAAAGTTTTCAAGAAACTTGATTAGTCTAAGTGCATTTAAGTTATTGATTTAAACATGTCATTTAAGCTTGATTATAAGACAAGTTCTTGCAACTTATATTAATCACTTTCAAGAAAAGGTGTCATATGAAGAAACATGGTTGTGACCCAATAAGGGCTCAAACCAATGATCCCTGGGTTCAGAGGCAGACTGCTTAAACCACAAGGCCACCGCTCCCCTTAAGATTAAAGATATTAAGCATGTTAGTGGTTAAACCTATTAAGAGAGCAAAATTGTTCAATGACAAACTATAACAAATTATTTTACATATTAAATTATAAAACATTTATATGGATTTCTTAAATAAAATGTCAGTATATAAATCTGAGTTTTTTTAATTACAAGAACAATACAAGATAGACAACTCAACTTTCTTATATGGCGATAAATACTGGATTTTAATGAATCAGCAAAAAAAAATTAGTGGTTTAATGTACTGGGTTATCATAATTATATATTTTGACAGTATCTTAAACTTAGAACACTTTTATCTAGAACACTATATCATTTCTATTTATTGACTAGCAGTGCCATACTACAAGTGGTCTATATTCCAAAGTCAATCATTTTGCTAAAGAAATGCTATTAGCAATGCACTGCCAGTCAATAAATTTCAATATTGCATGGTCAATGAATATGTAAAGTAACCATAATAATTGTAAAGAATTGCTATTAGCAATGCACTGCCAGACAATAAATTTCAATATTGCATGGTCAATGAATAGATAAAGTAACCATAATTTTAGTAAAGAAATGCTATTAGCAATGCACTGCCAGGCAATAAATTTCAATATTGCATGGTCAATGAATATATAAAGTAACCATAATTTTAGTAAAGAAATGCTATTAGCAATGCACTGCCAGACAATAAATTTCAATATTGCATGGTCAATGAATAGATAAAGTAACCATTATTTTGGTAAATAAATGCTACAAAATAATCTACACCATTGCTCTACCAAGCAATTAATTCCAATATTGCATGGTCCATAAGTATAGTAAGCAATCATGATTATAAGTTATAAAACATAACATATATTAAATATAGGATTTACAAGAAATGCAGTGACAAATCAACATAATGCAATAAATAAATACATCATACAAACAAACTCTAAAACAAGTTATATACTATGCTGTCATGGAATTCTGACTTAACTATTTTGATAATATATTAGAAACTATTAGATATAAACACACTAACTATATTTTCCAATGATGCAAAATAATTAATTATAGTCATAAATTACTTCTAAATGCCTTTAAGTCTATGTATAACATTACCTGCTATATTAAGGTCTACCATACCCATTTATAAACATTTGCTGTATGCTATGCACAAACTTAACATGACTGACTGAATATATGCTGTGCATAAACATGACAGGCTGAATTTATGTCATGCATACCTTGACAGGCTAAATTTATACTATACATAAACTTGACCTGTGCATACACATTGCAGGCTGAATTTATACTATACATAAACTTGACCTGTGCATAAACATTGCAGGCTGAATTTATACTATGCATAAACTTGACCTGTGCATACACATTGCAGGCTAAATTTATACTATGCATAAACTTGACCTGTGCATACACATTGCAGGCTGAATTTATACTATGCATAAACTTGACCTGTGCATACACATTGCAGGCTGAATTTATACTATGCATAAACTTGACCTGTGCATAAACATTGCAGGCTGAATTTATACTATGCATAAACTTGACCTGTGCATACACATTGCAGGCTGAATTTATACTATGCATAAACTTGACCTGTGCATACACATTGCAGGCTGAATTTATACTATGCATAAACTTGACCTGTGCATACACATTGCAGGCTGAATTTATACTATGCATAAACTTGACCTGTGCATACACATTGCAGGCTGAATTTATGCCATGTTTACATTGACAGGTTGAATATATGCTGTGCATAAACATGACAGCTTGGTTTTATGCTATGCATAAACATGACAGACCTAATTCATGCAATGCACAAACTTAACACACTGAATTTATCTTATGAATAAACATATCAACTGAATTTAAACTTAATACTTTACATAAACACCTGAACTTATGTAGTATATTCTGTAAAAACAGGAATAACACTAAATGCTTTAAAATTTGTATAAAGTTGTGAAGACTCATTTATGATAAAATATCATGTAGATTTGTAGATTGCTTTAATTATGTTATAAATCATTCATAATTATGAGTTGCCCAAATTCATGCCATATGATATGCATAAAGAGCAGTAAATACTAAATGCTATAAGTTACCGGTATGCATTAAATCTGTTTTGGCCTAATGTGCTATACTAAACGGATAAATATGAGTATTTTAAACTGTATTACAAATAACTTGCAGATTATATTGACAAAAAGTTTGCATATTAACAAAACTGAAAGGTTTCATACTTACATAATTATATGCAGTTGTATTTTTAATAGTCATTTTTCAAAAACTGTGTAAAAAGATGTATTAAATCATTATTCTTACCTCCATAATTAATGATTAGAAAAAAATCAGTAAATTTACCTAAATCACATATAATTTTCTTTTCACCTCATTTTTGCAATGGGAAAGAACAATATTACAAAAACACATTACATAATTCTATATTTCTAATTAATATCATAAATAAAAACATTATAAAGATTTCTAAATTAATTACAATCTTTGCTTCTATTCTATCAATACCTAAATACAAAGGGAAGTAAATCATTTTTGATTTCAAATGAGTAAATTTTTCAAATAAAGGGGTTACTTTTCATTTGCAAGAATATTTGATTTTCATAACTATGCTGTTATTAATAAAACAATTTCTGAATTAAGTTCAAATATAAATTATTTATCATCACAAAAATCAGACAGACCTAATGCTACATATTCATATAAAAAATTTGTACTAAATATGATTTATAATTTACTGTCAAGTTATACTGCGAACTACTTTTGAGGTTTATTTTTATATAATTTTGCTGATTTTAATGCTTCTGAGGGATCATTTTTTCCAGATATTTTTACTTTGGAAGAAATATCCTTTTTCAACCTTCAAACTTAAAATATTAACATGACATCTTAATTCATGTTAATTTTTCATTACACACATATGTGTCTCTCTCTTAATATATGTTCTGGAATGCATGTGTTTACATGGATATATCACAATGTGTACTAGTCTAAATATGTAATTATGCATATACTTTACACGGAATTTAGAAGACATAGCATATTGCACTGAGGATGAGTGAGAAATTATCTAAACAGCAAAATACAGATCATAGAGATCAATGAGAAAAAAAACAACACCTTAATATATTCAATGAAATTAATGAGCAAAGCAGTCCAAAGAGTGAGTTTTACCATGGCCCCTGCTAAAATAAAATAATCGCAAAATATACAAGAAATAAATTAGCAACAAAATTTAAAAATTGTACTATTACAGCAAAGAATGTTAACTAATGTTAATTACAAGACAGTGATAAATATTTTTCAATTTTTGGACCTTTGCCAAATCATTTTTCCAAGGGATAAAAAATCTACCTTAAATCATGTCTAAGCCATAAGGATTTCAAACTTTCAATTTTTTTTGGACCCTTGACAATTTATTCAACCCCCCTCCCCCAAGACTGGGGGGATTAAATCTGTTGTGAATTCATAAATTGATTCCTATTACATATAATCAAAAAGTGTAATTTTGCATTATAATATAATCAAAGATTATATGGTTGCTTTTAAATTGTTATTTGCTATATTATTCAAGCCGCTAATATTAACTTTATTATCTTATACTTATGATATATATTTACTTTTATATGGTTTTTTTTCTTTGTTGAAAACAGCATTGTGCTGACAGACAAATGAACAGACAGATAATTGGTGAGCAACTTGGTGAAATAATTATATGGGAAAAATAATAGAATAAGGGCATGACTTTATAAGCAAAACATTGTAATAGCAGAATAAAATAACTATATTTAAATATGCCCTTTTCATCGCCGTATTCATTCATAACAGAGTAACTCTAAATCAACACCCCCCTCACATTTAAATAAACACCAATTATATATATTACATATTGTTCATATAAAATTTTATATACAAATTTAAATCACTTATAAAAATCTATAACAACCTTTTTCACTTTTGCAAAATCACCCGAAAACACAATTACATCATCAGCAACAAAAACAACAACAGATCACGTAAACACTACGTCTTTAGTGAGTTTTTTAAATGCTGTTTTGAGACGCCGTTCAGCTGGCCTAAATGTCCGTTTGTTTTTTTCTGGTTCAAAAACAATGTTTCTTCTTCATCTGAGGAAAAGTCGGACTCTGAGATCATGACACTGCTGTTCTGGATTTTATCTGAAATGTAGGTAAAGCAAAAAGTTTATTATACATCACATAAACATTTTACTATATACAGCCTAATGTGACATCACATAGTGTTATATTTCGAACTATCATCCTGGAAATGAATATCACCCAGTCAATATTTTTTTGCAATATTCCCCAGGTGGGAGTATTCTATATAAATCTAAGAAACATCATGTTCTAGTTCTTTCCCCAGGCCTAGGGAAAGAACTAGAACATAATGTTTTCTTAAATTATTATCAGTCTAGAAAAACACTAAGATACCCTCTTTTATAAATATGATAAAAAAAAAAATTCATGAACCAAAACAATGTCTATATTATCAGAACATCGCTTTAGTAAACTTATTGATGTGACAATATATTTAAGTTATTGTTGTGGCAATATCTGTATCAATTGATGTGGCAAATTAAAGAAATAACATAATTCTGGCAAACATATGTTAATCTTAAGAGACCACAGATTTGGTATGTAAAATAAACAATGATGGATAGGCTACTATCCTCTTAACATATGCACATCTGCTTAACAGCAAAAGAATCATAACATTACAATTTCAGAGTTAGAACAGGATTGGCAATCATAATTTTCCAGGGTCTGCCAGTCATCGAATTTAGCACTGGCCCGGTGGCCCATGGCCAGTGAAAATTAGTTTGGGCCAGTGTAAATTTTAAGAAAATTTAGTTAAATATATAGTAGAATAAATTAAAAACTGGAATTCAGGCCAGTAAAGTCAAAATCTTAAATTCAATGACTGGTCTGCTAACCTCTCAGTACTAAAACCTTCTAAGTACTAAAACAATACATTTTAATTACTAAAACAATATAAGTTAAGTACTAAAACCTTCTAAGTAATAAAATAAAACATTTTAAGTACTAAAGTCTTCTAAGTACTAAAATAATACATTTTATTGAGAGAGGTGGATATTGGAACAAGACTGACAGTATGTTTCCACCCTTTAGGTAATTCAAATAATCAAATAACAACACTAAATTCACTAAATAAGGGTAGAAAAGAGAGAAGAGATTGAAAAGAACTATAAAAGAGAACAAGTTAAAAAGCACTGTAAATGTTAACAGGTAAATAATTCAAACAAACTCTGTACTACCTGATGTAACAAGCAATTATCATAGTATTGCAAGCAATCCATAAGTCCCCTACCGGTAAGAGCCCAAGCAACATTCTGAAGGGCCATTGGCCATTCACTTAGGTTCGTATTTTAAGTAAATTTGTTGAAAAAGTTCTTTAAAAGTGATCACAGGAAACAGTTTTTATGTACAGACAGACGGACTGAAGGACACTCTAAAGTTATTTTTTAAACATCCCTGTTATCAAAATATAACATTTTTAAAATCCTATCATGATTGAAGAAGTTGGAGTAAAAATTACCAATTTCTCAAAAAAAAGTCTAAGTTCAAAAGGGGCATAATTCTGGAAATAGTCTTGCTAGAGTATTGAACACTCACAAATGTTGAGTGACAATAAGAAACATTTGTATGAAGTTTGAAGTAGATACATTCAGAAAAAGAAGTTATTAAAAAAAACAATGTTTTTTTCATGAAAATTTAAAGTTCAAGGGAGGTAATTCTGATAAATTTTGTGCTAGAGTTGTAAACCTTGTCGCATATGATGTGGTTGATGACAAGACACTTATATTTAAAGTTTGAAGAAAATACCTTAAGAAATAAAGAACTTATAGTGAAAAAACTTAAAAACTAGAATCAGAAATCTTGAAATTCAGTCTATTTGTTGCCATAGCAACCAGAATTTTCAACATAGGAAGATAAAAAAGGATGTGCATAATTTCCATACTGCCATCTACCCATATGTCAAGTTTCATAAACATATTTTCAGGACTTTTTGTGTTATCACTGGATCCAGGTTATGTGTAAAATTTGCCATATTTTCAGTCTATTTGTTGCCATAGCAACCAGAATTTTCAACATAGGAAGAAAAGAAAAAGATGTGCATAATCTCCATACTGCCATCTATCCATATATCAAGTTTCATAAAAATATTTTCAGTACTTTTTGCGTTATCGCGGGATCCAGGTTATGTGTAAAATTTGCCATATTTTCAGTCTATTTGTTGCCATAGCAACCAGAATTTTCAACATAGGAAGAAAAGAAAAAGACGTGCATAATCTCCATACTGCCATCAATCCATATATCAAGTTTCATTAAAATATTTTCAGTACTTTTTGCGTTATCTCGGGATCCAGTTTTGTGGACGGACGGACTGACGGACGGACAGACGGACGGACTGACGGACGGACGGACAGACGGACAGACGGACGGAGGGTAAACCTAAAGTCCCCTCCGGTAAACCGGTAGGGGACTAATAAGTTACACGTTTTATTCTGGCAGGTCAAGGCTACCATCTATATCTAGGGGACATACATGTTCAGTTAACTTTAATTTCTAGTAATTGTTTCTTATATCCAGAAATTCGCTTAAACAATATTTGCTACAAACATGCAACCTGGGTTCGATACCCGGTGGTGCAGGTTACTTTCGTTGCGCTTGATCATGAAATCGTTACTAAGGTCATTCACACTATACCTCTGCTCTAGCATGTACAAAAATATATCAGTTCCTTACAAAAGTTAAGGCAACTAGTACTGGTAAACTGCTTCACAGCCTGGACAGGAATGAAGTGGTGGCTGAATTGTGATCTAGTAAATTAAAAGTAGTTTACTACCATGATCCGGATGTTAAACTACCAACACCACCACCAACATCCATGCAGTCTGACCAGACTCAATAATGATGGTTGACCAACATCATAGTTTCATCTTGATATCCCTATTATCAATATTGACAGTTCCAAAAATGCAAGCTGGACAAGTTCGTTATTAAAATTCAGGAGGTTAAAAGTTAAAACAGGCTCTATTGTAAGGTCTGGAGCCATGTTGCTTTAAGAGAATTTCAGACTGACAAGCTGTCTACAAATAAACCAGAAAAAAATCACATTATCAAGTAATTGTATTTGTTCATATAACAATAAAAAAGGTTGGTAAAATTTATTATCACTAGGAAAACTTACTTTTTTTAAGAGCTGTCATTTCTGTTTCATCATCAGCATCATGTAACAGTGAATACCGATGACGTTTCTTCGAGCGTAACCTACATCTGTGACATGGACACCTAAAAAATATACAAAACATACAGCAATGCTTTGGTTGAAACATTGTTTACTTAAGACAGCTTGCAGCTTATATGAACCTTTTTTGTGTTCATTTCTTGGAACTAAATTGTACTGGTGGCATTTGAGAAGAGAGGGTTCTAACAGCTGTAGGACCCCTGGGTTGAGAGATGGTCACATCAATTATTATGGTATATACCAACAAAATTTGTGTAAAATCACTTTGTCCTGCGTTGAATTATGAAGTGTTTATAGTACAAATAAAGTTTCAATACGAAAATACAGTCAAACTTGCCATCGCGACTCACTGATTTAAACGACTTCCTGTTGTATACGACCTTATTTTAGACCGCCCAACGTAAATCACTATATAAAGTCACTAAATTAAATGACTCCCTGTCTGACGCGACTAACGACCTTAAATTTAGCGTCCCGTTACATTTCTATGACTGAATTAAACGACTTTTTCATTTTCACAAGAATTATGTTTTTCACACTTCATGCTTTCAATTGACATTTGACCGTCAAAATTGAGCGCCATAGTCTCGAATGTTTATCACCATTGCAAAAGGTGTTAATTGATAATTACAAAGCTATTAGTCATTATAACTGTCCAAGTTTAAAAAGAAAAAATCTCATGATTACATCTACTTGACCAAGCAGTAAATTACAACCGTCTGATAACGTGCGGATAGAAACATGTACAAACATCCGGGCACTTCAGATCACACAAATATTGCTGACAAAGCACGTAACTCTTGAAGAAAAAATTCAGGCAATCAAAAAGCTTGATGCCGGCACCCCAGCCTACAAAATTGCTGAGGAAATGGGCGTCGGCAAAACCCAGATACAGACGCTCCGGAAGCGAAAGGCCGACATTTTGAGTGTCTTTGAAATTAACATGCCCAATTCTTCAAAACGTTGTCGTTATCTCACAGGTATTTTTTTCGTTATTCGCTCTCATCGTTTTTCACTAAATTGATAGGAAAAATAAAGCAAAGATTTACAAGACAACAATGCCTGTTTATACACTACACCCCCCGAACTTAAATTTTTAACTGTCTGCACTTTGCATGTATGAGCAGAAAATTCATTCCTCCTTCTTTTTCCAGGGAATGAAGAAGTCAAGGACCTTACATTGGCATGGTGTCGTGATGTAACGGGAAGAAACATCAATCTTACAGGTCCAATGATACAGACAAAAGCAATTGAATTTGCCCAACAGCTGTAAAAGACTGAATTTAAGGCCTCAAATTGTTGGCTTGACTCTTTCAAATTAAGAAACAGTATATCATATGGGACCATGAGTGGCAAAAGAGGAGATGTGAATGTTAAAACTGTGAATGACTGGAAATCAAAATTAAAAACTCTTCTTTTACAATTTTATATTTATAATACATTGTATTTGTATAATTATGCATGTAAACATTTTAATTTTTAAAAACATTTTAACTATAATAAAGTATTTAAATAAAAATTATCTTATATCTTTCAACAACAAACCATATTTAAATATTACATATATGTATGTAACACAAAGAAAACACAATCAAAGAAAAGACAAACAAGTAAAAATAGCATTTTGAAACAACTGATGATTTTTTTGGGAACCTGGATTAAAAGACGCCCTGTCATATATGACCTTTTTGATATGGTCCCATGAAGTCACATATGACAAGTTTTACTGTACTTTGACAGAAAAACGAAATTAACTGTATGTTGTTGTTTTTTTAACACATTCCTGAATAAAGTTTTAATATTTCCTCAATATAGTCTGAACACTTTCCTGCATAAATCCTTAACATTTTCTGCATGTCCTGACATTTTGTGAATGAAATCTGAAAATTTTGTGAATGAGTTTTTAAATTTGTCTGAATGATGTCTTAATATTTTCTGACAGAAGTCTTAACATTTTCTGAATGATGTCTTAATATTTTCTGACAGAAGTCTTAACATTTTGTGACTGAAATCTTAACATTTACTGACTGAAGATAAAGTCTTAACAATTACTGACTGAAGTCTTAACATTTTCTGAATAGTCTTACCATCATTTTTTTTGCATGAAATATTACCATTTCCTAAATGAAGTTTTTACCATTTACTGAATAAAATTTTACCGTTTTCTCTGCCAGCAGCAGACGCAGGCCCATGATGCACCAGTACATGTTATCACAATCAGAAAACTCACTATCACAACATATAAAATACTCCAATCTGAAATATACACAAATGTCGACAAACCAAAATCAGGAGCTTTGATATTTAATTTTTCTACAGAAGCATCGCAAGATGTTTCAGTTTGTTTGTCATACCTACACAGTAAAGGTCATATGGCGAGGTTCCAGCATTACTGGTGGAGGAAGACCTCAGGTGCTCTTCCATGCATTATGGAAGCATAACAAGAAATTAAGTACATAAATACCTTCCTACTTTTACAATGTATATTGTTTATTTGCTTTAGATGCAATATGTAAATCTAACTTAAGGCATCAGTTACCAATCATGTATTAATTTCGTTGGTTTTAATGCTGATTTTAACACAGGTAACTGAATCATCTGTCAAATACAAGACTTGTAAAGTTTTATCTACGACTCACCACTAATTCTGTCCAAACAACTTGTTCAATGAACAACATTAAATGAATAGAATATTGGTTAACTCAATCAATCAATCAATCAATCAATCAATCAATCATCATATCATCAATCAACAAATGACATCATCACTATCATCATAATCATTATCCCAATCATCAATCTATTACGACAAATGATTATAATAATCATAATTATCACTATCATCATCGAATTATCACCATGTACAATTACTTACCACAGTTACTATCTCCATGTAGCCAGTACAAGAACACATTTTGAGTCCAAAATGCTTCACAGATACACAGTTTGGACCTCATATCACAGTGACCATGATCGGAACAGTTATTTTGGCATACTGAAATACAATATGACAGAAATTTTGTCTTAACTTGCTGAAATTGGTGTAAAGGAATTACCCTGTTTTTTTTTTTGTTTTTTTTTTTTTTTTTAACAGTTCATACAAAGTTTCAGGGAGTTCAATATCAACTAGAAATGTGACAGATATAAAATATGACAGATATTTTGTCTTAACTTGCTGAAATTGGTGTAAAGGAATTACCCTGTTTTTTTTGTCTTTTCACTAGTAGACGGGGCATTATTACTGAGTGACCAACTTAAAGGGCCTTGTCAACACTGTACAGAAGTCTAAGCTGGCCTAGATCTACACTGGAGGCAATTAGGGAAATTAGGCATCTTGAAAGGTTTTCAATACATCAACAATATAAAGGTAAACTATGATTATATGATTATGTAAATTGTTATGTTTCCTTAACCTAAACCATACCATTGGTAATTTGATCTTCTTTCACATTTGCACAAAATTCTAAATAAAAGTTGTGTGCACCAAGACAAGAACATTTATCCAAAAAAATATATATGTGAATAAATGCTCAATTTACAAGTTATAACTTAACTGGTAATTATTTAGCTGCTAGAAAAAGCTACAAGAATAGAGCAGGGCATTTTTCACATGTACGGGAAGTAGTCCTTCCAATAAAATTGGGGGGGGGGGGGGATTTAACAACAAATTTTTTTTAAAGGGAAGAAAAAAAACATGATTTTGATCAAATTTCAGTGGAAAACTACCGATTTGAAAGAAATTATTTTGTTTTTTGTTTGTTTTGATTTGGGTTTTAAGTAACATCGACACAGTATAGGTCATATAAAGACGTTCCAGCTTTACTGTTGGAGGAAGACCTCAGGTGCCCTTCTGTGCATTATTTCAGGCACGAACGGGCACCTGAGTAGAACCACTGACGTTCCGTAAGCTAGCTGGATAGCTTCCTCACATGAAAGAATCGAAAGTCCAGGTCAGGATTCGAATCCAATGCGATGAGGGGCAAGTGGTTTGAAGTCAACAGTCTTACCTAATGTATCAATATAGACAACTTTAAATTGGAGCACATAAGGCGAAGACAGCAGTTTTTTCTTCAATACTTTCAATGTATCCACCCCACTCCTGTATGTGTGTGTGTCCCTCATCACATTCATTGCATAAAATAATATCCTGAGACTGAAAAAAGAACAAAAATATATGAGCCGTGTCACAACAAAACCAACATAATGGGTTTGCGACCAGCATGGATCCAGACCAGCCTGCGCATCCGCGCAGTCTGATCAGGATCCATGCTGTTCGCTTTTAAACCTTTTAACAAGTAGAGAAACTGATAGCGAACAGCATGGATCCTATTCAGACTGCGCGGATGGCAGGCTGGTCTGGATCCATGCTGGTCGCAAACGCACTATGTTGGTTTTGTCGTGACGCGGCTCATATGAAATTATCATACACTTACCAAATTCTGTTTAAAACCAAGGGAGGTAATTCATGCAAGGTTACCTTTACATCAAATAAGAGTAGTACCCCTTTTCTAAAATAAATTTATTTCACAACCATACATCGCCTGGCAGTTTTATTGATCACATAGAGGAAGTCCACTCCAAAATGTGCAAACAAGCAAAGGGCACAGACGTGATGGTACACATTATATGGATAATTTTAAACCTTACTGTGCTAAATATCTTAAATGGAAATCATTTATTATTTTTGAGGGAAAATTTCAAAATATGTATTGCCTGAATTGCAAACTGTGAAATGATTCATCATTTTAAGGGAGAATTTCAAAAAAATGTTCTGACTGAAAAGAAAACAGTGCAAATCATGATTTATTAGCACAGTCATACTGACAGTATACTGGTAACTTCATGTAATTTCAGGGACATGAAATTTTGTAGCTTTGTCAAAAAGATAGTTTCATGGGTTCCTTAAGTTGTGTATTGTCTGTTTTTGCGATAATTTTTGAGAAATGCAAATAAAAAGTTATTGGCAACAATAATCTTATCAGCAGAGCACAATGAAAATTTAATTGATTTGAATGAAACAGAAATTCTTTTGTATTGAACCTTATCAATGAAAACACGAATAAAATTATTGCTCATGCAATTCTTATTGATTTTGTGCAGTTTTACAGGCAGTTTAGACACTTGGTTATCCCAAAATTAAATAAAGAACTTGCACTCACTTCCCTGAACTTGGTAGTTTCTTTTGATCAATCTTAGGTATGGATCTTATCACCGTCTCACCCTCGGCCGCGGTTGGCTCGTCACTAGGTAACAACAGACGCCTCAACTTTTGACTCTCTTAAATCTTCGTGAATTGGTACAACAGTGAAACACAAACATGTGAACAAACACATCATTAGGATTGACGTCAATACTACTTATTCAATCTTTGAACCAGTTTATTTGTACTTCAAAGTTCTTCAGATCTGGGTCAATTGTATGATGCTATAAACTATAATCGATGATTCGGTAGTTTTAGCAAAAATATGTCATAATTTTGGAATATATTATATCTGCATTTCCTGGGACATAATCCCACGATGTCGGACAATATGGTTTCATTGTTTATCAGATTTTTGGGACAATCCCAGATGTCTGGGAATTATTATGTATGTAAGTTATATCCTTCGACAAACACCCTTTCGACATCAACGCTCTATCCCCAATCTATTCAGTCTTACCATTATTTTCCTCTGTAACTAACTGCTGTATATATCTGTAGCTAAAGTCAGCTCTAGCAAATCTTTCTGGTGACCAGCTGAAATATACATATATATATATACATATACATGGTAGATATATAAAAGGAATTTTTTCCCCCATAATTTTAGCATTAGTAATTATCAAGAATTTCCTCCGACTAAGTTATTTTCTTTCTACCTTGTCCCTGCCATACAATGACCTATTCCCTGTTTTGTTTTGGAACTATTTAGCATAAGCAAAACATGTCCAATGTGCAGTAAAGTGGCATTTAGAGGACAATTTGTCCTTGTAGGGCTGGACCTTGAGTAGGATCTCAATAACCCAAAATCTAAGTCAGAACTATTCCCCATAGGTTGGAAAAACAAAATCAGAATAAAACTAATGCAACATCAACATTGCCTGGCAAATGCTCTTGATAAAGCCAACTTGATAAGTTTCCTACATTTTTTTGTTTTTGTTGGGTTTTGCATCGCAGCAACACTATTAAACTGATTTAGAAAATTTCCAACTTTAGTGGTGGAGGAATACCTCAGGAGAGCCCCTCTGTGCATTATTTCAGGCACAAACAGGCACCGGAGTAAAACCTTCAACATTCCTTAAGCTAAATGAATAATTTTCTTTCATGGAAGAATCCACAGTCACTGGCGAGATTCAAACCAACAGCATTAAGGGGCAAGTGGTTTGAAGTCAATGACCTTAACCACTGGGCCATGGACACCCCAGTGTTTTCTACATTGTAATACTCTTTTTAAAATCTTACCTGGCTTTACAAGGATGGAAGCTTTATCACTACTTGATAATCCCTCGGCATCAGCCACCGTCAGCGTGAACACATATTTCCCAGCCACAAGGTTAGCTAACTGTAACACGGCCTGGTGATCAGACTGTGTTAAAAACCTGAAAACACCAAAACGGGATATTTAACTTCTCCAACTGATCTTGGAAGACAAGGGAGAAATAGTAGTTGTATGATGGAGAATGACCTACATGACTTAAAAGCATTAATTGTGGGAGAATACTTCAGAGGTGCCTTTATTGTTTTTTCAAGCATAAGCAGACACCTAAGTAGAACCATCAATCTTCAACATATGAATGAAACTAAAGTTAATAATGGATTTAAAACCCACAGCAGTGAGGGTCAAGTGATTTGAAGAAACATCGCGAAAGTCGCGAACTCACTTGTCACAAACAAATTTGGCCTTGCCCAAGGATCAAACCAGGGATCCCTGGATTACAAATCCGATGCTCTCACTAGTGAGCTTAGAGAATGGTCGGACTGAATGTGTTCTGGTAGCAATAAGTATATGACCTGCACACAAACAATAAAATAACAATAAAACATACATACCCCAGCTGACAATGATTTTGGATCCCGGACCCAGTTAAATTCTGTAATTTTATGATCATCTTTAGACCGGGAACCATCCAGTGTTACAAGCATCTGTGGTAACTGAACAACAACATCTCCACCTGCGTCTGCTACTGGTGCCTCATTCTGAACTATAATTATATATAGCAGAAATCACATTCAGGTAGGTGATACATAAACACTTACTCAAGATGGACTTTACTAAATTTGAATCTAGGAAAGCTGAAAGGCTTTCATTATAACTTTTGGAGATGAAGATTTGAGTAAGGCTATTAGAAATTACAATCAACAGTAATGTTTAGATTTTCCTAGTATTGTATGATAAACAGTAAAAAACTAAGAATGTGTCAATATGACACTGATGCTTCCACATTCCACTTTTATGTCAGTCTACTGACAGGACAGCACGATGGTCGGACAGGGACAAATATATGCCCCCAACCCCCTCAAGCACAGAAACAAGGAAGGAATGGTGGGGAGTGGGGAAAAATGATTACGCTACAATATTTCTGCTACAATATAAAAGATGATAATCTACCTTGTTTCACATTAACATCAAGCGTAGCAGACGATGTCAACTCCTCAACATCTTTCACTGTCAACTTGAACGAGTACTTGCCGACTTTTATGCTACCTCCAGCTGTTGCTTGCACTTTGTCAGAGTCCTTGATATTCAGGCTTGTAGGTCCCCTATCATACAAGATACATGGAGGATATTGAATAATTTTACGTTCCAAACTGACAAATTCAATACAACAATCTCTTCTGAGCCACATTTTTATTCATAAACGTAATAAATTTAAAATCTGTTTGCGTGCTCATCCTATAAACCTATCCACATAAAATTCAATAAAGAAATCAAAAGAACTTTAATCATTTCAACTGACAACACTTCTAAATAATTTCCATATTTAAAATTTATTTTTAAATCAGTTTCATGTTTTATACACACTACTGGATTAATAATTAAGCCCCTAGGGGCATAGGTGTTGGGCCAATTTAAAATATCCCACTGCTAGAGTTGAAACTACATTGGTGAAATCATAAGCTGTCATCTCTCTCATATTTTAAAGCGTATCAAAGTACCTACCCGGTCTGTTGCCACTGGAATGATGTGATTTTCTGATCATCAGTACTGTTACTACCATCAAGTAATATATTATCTAGAGGTAACGATGTTTCTATAATACCTGCGGTACGAGCCACTGGCGGGGTATTCTGTTCTGAAATCATAGAATGTATCAATATATACAAATTCTAAGTAAAAAATTCTGAACAGCATATTAAGTCTCAGAAATCAATAAAATTTCACATCTTAATAATGTTTATATTATTGATTTTGAATAATTGAAGAAAGAAGTGCTTAACATGCAGTAATGTGTCATAAATGTAGCAAATGTAAACAAAGTAGTATTTTGAAACTTTCATACAATAAACCAAATCACTATAACAATACCAAATGCCAAAAAACAAAAGATAGTACATATATATGACCAATGAGTAGCTTTTTTAATCTGAAACAAGACACCAAACATAAAAGGTTGAAAAACAAGAGCTGTTTGTAGGCAAGAGCTTCAACTATTTTCAGTGCTGGACAGTAAGAAAAGGGGCTTAAGTCTGTAAAAATGTAACATAGAGGCATGGGACCTTTTGTACATCATGTGAAATAATCACAGACAACAAGTGTGTTAAGTTTTAACTTATTCTCTTCAGTAAGTTTAAATATATCAACTTGCACACAAAAACCAAAGTGTGAGAGCTACAGCAATGCTGATGTAAGTACAATAGCATATTCTTTGAACAATCTAAAAATGTTATCATTTTGAAAGCTAAATGGGCCTTTTAAGACATCAGTCAATAAATAATTCATCCATGAGAAACAGTAAGGTAGTGTAACAAGAAGACTATATGGAAGTTTGGAAGGAAATTCTGGGGATTATAATCAAAATGTATGAGAAATTATGAAGAGCATAAAAATGAGATGAAGTTATACACATTATTTTTTCCATTAATTACCTGGTTTAACATACACATGGACATCTGCTGTAGAAACTTGACCTGCTGAATCTGTCACTTTCAGGGTAAATGTGTAATCCCCAACTTCCAAGTTTGATAAATGAAGCTCTGAAGACCGCGCACCCTTAAAATAAAAGAAACATTTTCTATGATCACAAATATGAAAACAATAAGCATTAAAGGACCAAACAATGGGCAATACTGACATGTTAATTATCAATGAGTTTTTTTTTAAATTGCTATTTCACTAATAGTTTTGTCCACTTGATCCCTTCCAAATATAGACCTGTCTTTTAAACAGGTTTGACTTTACTTGAAAAGAAAATATTTACAATGTATATAGAAACCATAATCGAATCACCCATTCTATTATCTAACCATTACATGGAAATATCTGTTAACAATAAAAGCAGAATTTCTTTCTGTACCAGTGTAAAACATAACCCCCCTGTTAACAATTACAGTAATTTGTATTTGTGTTTAATCAAACAATCAATGAAAGGCAATCAAACTTGAAGGCAGTGAGCACAAAAATAAACAAATCACAGAGGAAAACATTATATTTACACAACATTATTCCGAGATTTCTCTGCAGGGAATTTTCAAAACATAGCCTCAGCCATTGTAAATAAGTCTATGAAATAGCAGCCTCCCAGTATATTACAAAAACCATAAATCTTGGCTAAAGTTATATGATAATTAAATAAGAAACCAAGTCTTTGAAATGAAAGCATATCATTGGTGAATTATAAAAAATTTGTTTGAAAATAGCCAATTATAAGAAACCAAGTCTTTAAAATGAAAGCAATCATTGGTCAATTGTAAAAAACTTTGTTTCAAAATAGCTAATCATATGCCTGAGATATCAGAATTGAAACCAATTATATTTCTTAGTCACACAGGCAGGGCCAAAAAAACCTTCGTTGTAGAGGCCGAATATAGGCTACTTCCCCAACCAAAATAGCCTCTTTTTTTCCCCACTTTGGTCCTCAAAATTCCCCAGTCTTTTTAAATTTCCCTTAGAATTTAGAACAAAATTAAATGATGGTGTTGAATTAAGGTCTTTTACTGCCTTATTAGTATTTTCCAGTGCTTTTCTATTTTGAAGATTTTCCCCAAGAAAAAGGCTGAGGCCCCTTCACCAAAAATGGTGTTTTGGCCCTGACAGGATAATAACACATACATGTCTTGTTAAGTATGTCTTCATCTAATAAATACATGTAGGTTGAAGAGTAAAAGTGTCACTACATGTACTGTATTTATGAATTAAAGAGATCTATATAAATGAAGATAATTTCATGAAATATGTTGCTTTTTTTTATTTCACCAATATATAATACAGTCCACTCTGGATATAAAGAGATCTTTAAGACTCTGCATGGTTCCTCATTATATATTCTTGTCTTGTTAAAACTGGGACAAAACATATCCAGAAAATAGTTGAAAAATAGCTGAGACTAAACAAAATATACTTTATAAGTGGTACATTGTTTAAAGCAATCCTTATATAAATGGTATGTTTACATAAACAGAACCAAATGTTCCAGAACAAAAATTTTACGCTGCTGTATTAAGAGTTTGGGTTTTTTCTGTTAAGGCCCAATTTATGTTTATACATGCACCTTTGGGTCTTTTTAAAAAAATTTTCCACAAAATTTTTTTCATACACTTCTTTGAATTATTCTTTTTCAAAAAAAAGCGAAAAAACAAATCCAAAATTTTTAAAAGGAGAAAAAACAAATACCCTATGTACTTGTATATTTGCTGTTAAAAAAATATATATTTTCTTTTTGGTTTAAATTTTTGGCCCGGGGAATTTTTCTTTTAAGTTTTGGGTTTCCTGTGTATCAAAACAGCTAATTACTCCTGTGCTTTTAAACCATTCATAATACAATACCTTTACCATCCCCTTTCTGGCCCTTTACCATGAAACCCCAAACAGAAATTTTGTAAATGATTACTACATCCCATTCCGAAGATTTGCCTCGTTTGGAGGGATAGCGGTTCCCCCCCGTTTCCCTAAAACATAGCCACAAAAAATAGTCCATGATAAAAGTAATTATTACATGAAAATGTAGGATAATCACTCATATAGAAAGAAAAGCAGGGAAGTTTCATAAGTTTTTTCTGGAACTGTTTATTACTTATATAGAACTTTACAAATTTACAGTGGATTAAAACTGTTAAGCATTCAACTTTGATCTAATTTACAGTCAATTAAAACTGTTCAGTATTCAACTTTGACATAATTTAGAAGTGGATTTAAACTGATTTAGTGTTCAATTTTGATATACCTTATCATATCTTGTAACATCAGAATCAATATAATTCAAAGACACATATTCAGTAAGGGAGATACCAGGTTTCAATTACATCTAAATCAGAACTATGACAGACCGTTTAATTTCCTCTATGTCTGTATTTCACATTCACTAATCATAACCTTAAGTGGCCTTGTCTCTCTGTGGGAATTAATGAAGTCTACAGACAAATTTACTTACACTCTGCCCTTACATGTGGCTATTATTTTAAAGACTTGTGAAGAGGGATTAGGGGAGGGGGGGATTATGCTGTCTAGTAAAAATTACTAGTTAACACTGAGCTATGTAACAAGGTGGATATGTACAATGGAAAAAAAATTGTCTGACACAGGGCTCTTATTAGCATTTTGTGACTGGGACCAGGGTACAAACAATGGGGTGATTTTGTTTTACTTAGAAATATATATTTAACAGATAAAAATGTTATACGGTCTTGAACTATAGCATAAACTAGAAATGTGTCCATAGGACACGGATGCCCCAACACGCCACTGTTCTGTCAATCTTATGGCTCTAGGTCAAATATTTTTTGGACTACATGTGCCACAAGTTGAAAACTAAAAATCAACAAAGGGCCATAATTCTGTTAAATTTGGTCGCAGCAAAAATTCCTTCCTTTACTACCATCTACACATTAAGGTTGTAAATCCCTGGAAGTTTAAGCAAAATCTGCCATCCGATTTAAGAGGAGTTACGTTCACAAAATTTCTACAAAGTATATAATGAAAAAATCAACAAAGGGCCATAATTCTGTTAAATTTGGTTGCAGCAAAAATTCCTTCCTTTACTGCCATCTACACATTAAGGTTGTTCATCCCTGGAAGTTTAAGCAAAATCTGCCATCCGGTTTTAAGAAGAGTTGCATTCACAAAAATTTCTACATAGTATATAGTGAAAAAATCATCAAGGGGCCATAATTCTGTAAAATTTGGTCGCAGCAAAAATTCCTTCCTTTACTACCATCTACACCTTAAGGTTGTTCATCCCTGTAAGTTTAAGCAAAATCTGCCATCCGGTTTAAGAGGAGTTGCGTTCACAAAATTTCTACATAGTATATAGTGAAAAAATCAACAAAGGGCCATAATTCTGTTAAATTTGGTCGCAACAAAAATTCCTTCCTTTACTACCATCCACACATTAAGATTGTTCATCCCTGTAAGTTTAAGCAAAATCTGCCAACAGGTTTAAGAGGAGTTGCGTTCACAAAATTTCTACATAGTATCTAGTGAAAAAATCAACAAAGGGCCATAATTCTGTTAAATTTGGTCGCAGCGAAAATTCCTTCCTTTACTACCATCTACACATTAAGGTTGTTCATCCCTGTAAGTTTAAGCAAAATCTGCCATCCGGTTTAAGAGGAGTTGCGTTCACAAGATTTCGGGACGTACGGACGGACGGACGGACTGACTGACGGACGGACGGACAAGTGCAACGCTATATGCTCCCACATTGTGGGGGCATAAAAAAATCAAAAATTCAAATACAAACAAGTGTCATTAATTTTGTCTAATGTTAAATTGTAAAATCTGCAGCAAACACTTAGTAGCTGGATCAGGGTTGAATCATGTAATAATATCATGTTAAACTGCCATATAAATTACATTTAACATATTGAACTATGTCATATATCTCTGTTAAATATAGCTTTTGAGGGTATTGTCTTTTTTGAAAGAAAAAAAAACAACATAATAATCTAATGGGGGCTATAATCTGCACCAAATTTAGCCTAATGAATGCCCTCTGGTCAATGAAAATGACTGAAAAACACATGTTTATCACTGATGTGAGTTTACATAGTTAAATTACGTCTTTACCTTTAATTACTGTAACATTGGCAGTAGTTGCATTAGTTGCTCCATCAGAATCTGTAACTGTCAGTCTTAAAATAGAACATAATATCTATAGTCTTAAAATAGAACATAACATCTACAGTCTTAAAGTAGACAATATATAGTCTTAAAATATGATAAGACAGTACTGAAACATCCCATATAGTCTTAAAATAGAACATATAGTATTGAAATAGAATATACTGTCTTAAAATATACCGTCTTAAAATAGAACAATCTTAAAATAGACCATTATAGTCTTCAAAAGTAGAACAGCAATCTTAAAATTGAACACAAAGTCTTCAAAACTACTACTGTCTTAAAAAAATAACAGTAATTGTAGAATGAAATAAAATAAAATGAAATGCTGTACATGTAGAATAAAGTAAAGTTAATCATGTATTTATAACATGTTTACAATAAAGAACATACATTAAAATGAACTTACCAAGTACACATTAAAATAGATAATTCACATATTTTGCAAGCAGGGAACTAATAATGTAAAATGTTTTGAAAAGAAAAAATTAAACCATTTTTAAAATTTTGAATTGTATATAATTATACTCACTTTAAAGTATAATTGCCGGGAACCAGATCAGTTAATTTTAGTATAGCTGTTTCCCCTGTAATGCTTTTATCTTGTAATGGTCCACTCACAACATCCCAATGATAACTGACAATCTTATCATCATCAGTACTGTCTAGAAGAGCAAAATATAAAACAGACGATAAAAATAGAAAATCTGGATAAAAATAGAATTTCATTAATACAATATTACCCCTTTACCTCATGAGCATATTGTGAAAAATGGCCGTTTTCATTGAAAAACCTCCTGTTACAAGTTCCAACTGCTATGAAACTATGAAAAATGCTTCAATACTGATGAAACTTGGCACAAATGTTGACTGGACCATAGCCTCTGTAACAGCATGCTCAATCTTAAATTTCCTGTTACCATGTTCAACTCCTGATAAAACTGATTTTTTTTGTCACTCACTGTTAAATATATATTTGGAGAAAGGAATGCCTGAATTTTTGGCCCCAAATTAGTCCCGAAAAACCACAGTCTGTTCATAAAAATTTTCACTTGTGTTAACTGTTTTTTAGAACTATAATATATTCTTGTTCATTCAAATTGTAGCCTAAATATACATTCAAGATGTTTGTCTACTTGAATTTTAGACAAACTTACCAAATTATAACAAGTTCTCTTTGTAAATCAAGGATCCAGGTAGAGCCACAAACCTGCGATCTTCTAAGTTTGGTCATTTACTTACAGATTTGTGGTAAAAATGCAATGTTGAATTCAATTTTAGTAAAGTTACTTGCAGATTCATTGCTACATCCTTGACTTTTGGCAATTCTACTTGCAGAATTTTAAATATTCATGTAGTAAAACATAAATGAACTATCAAATATGGCAGTTATATAAAATTAATGTACATGTCCATTTTAAGACACACATAAAATAAACATTAAACCTATTCAATATTGAATATTTTGGACATTTTCATGAAGTGTTATAAGTATTCATGTAACAATAAGTCAACCTACCTGAACCATCCAATATGGCAGAATTTGGCAATTTTACTTGCAGATTTGTCGGTGTTACAACAGCAACTGGTGGTTTGTTCTCCCTTGCAGCTGAAAAATGAAATGTAACATAACATCATAAATACTGTAAATTATCACTTGTATTCATTATGCAAATATTTACATACATGTTCGTATAAGATAAAACTCTATTCTACCCCTAACCCCACAAAAAGATGGGTGGGGCAGGGGGAGAGGGGAATAGGGGGATGGAAAGAGGGACAGTGGGGAGATAATCTCCTCCAATATGGAGAATCAAGCCCATACTTTGTTATAAAATCAGCTAAGTGGAATAACAACCCTAAAATCTATATGTTAAAGTAGCCCAATAGTTTATAGCCTACATCCTAACCAACCATTGAACAGATGGCGTAAAGTTTCAGTCAACTAATTCCATTAATATCCATTGATTGTTACGCATGTTTGTTATGCAAGATGGTTTATGTGTTCAAAGTAATCTGTATGACCCATCAGCTGATGACATTTTGTATGTGAAATGCTAACTTGTACGAGAATAAATATTTGCATAACAACATTTAGAGATAATATTTCAATTCTCTAGAGTATTACTTGATCTTAAATCGTAGTACTTTATAATCTTATGCCAGGCTTTGTTTGAATGGTAATACTTTTCTTTCATAAGTCAGGTTTTATATGAGTAACATAATGAATTAATGAATGGAAAACATTAAAATCTTTATCAGTTGTAAATCATTCTGAGCCTGCAAATGAGCATGTCTCATTTAAAACATGTGTTTTTTTTAGTCACGTAAGTATGAAAATTAAATCATGAAATGATGAAATTGATTTGCTTCCTTCATTCAAATGAAAATGATTTGACTTGTCTATTTAAAGCATGAAAACAATTGTTGCATAAACACATGAAACTGATTTGTTTCATTAAAAGCATGAAAATGATCGGTCTCATTGTAAGCATGATGATAGTAAAAACCAGAGCCTTGATAATGTAGGATTTCACAAGTTTAATGTGAGTACCTCCTGCAGTTTTGAAGACTGCTAAAAGAAGTTTTAAACTAGAACTGTGTCCAAAGGACACGGATGCCCCCACTGTGCAGATGTGCTCGTAAACAAGAGCATGCATATCTGTATGTAAGATTTTTATGTGGAACTTCTTCATTCCACTGTTTCATTTCTGTACATATACCTAAAATGATCTACAGGTAACCTTATGTACATGTTAAATTAAATTACAAATGTAAAATTTATATGTTCAATTATTTATATGGTATATAGTGAAAACTAGAAATGTGTCCATAGGACACTGATGCCCCCGCACGCCACTGTTCTGTCAATCTTATGACTCTAGGTCAAATATTTTTTGGACTACATGTGCCACAAGTTGAAAACTAAAAATCAACAAAGGGCCATAATTAGTGTTGGGTATCGGACTCAAAAATCACTATCGATAATCGGATCACCACAATCGATTGTCTTCCGATAGTATAATCGAGTTTGTTTGGCCCTTTTTCCTTTAAGGTACCAATCCTTGTATGTATTTTTTTATACAGTAGTGACCATATTTTGAGAATAAAATAAGCCCTTGTCTCCTTGATTAAAGTAAGATTTACTCTTCGAATTCAAAACAAACAACACAAATACCTAATTATACTACTTTGTGAGAGGCAAAGATGAATTTGCTTTGGTGTTCAGGAAACAAAAGTCGTTAAAATTGCCCACTTATTCACCAGTAGCCATGTTTTTTCTGTATATCTTTTTTGATAAGGCAAACAAAAAAGACTATAGGCATCCTCTGGAATTAAAGAGATTTGGTCAGAAACTTCTATTTGACCGTGTGTAAAAAGTTACGTCCTAGGCAATTCATTGGTGGTACATGACGATGTTAGAACATTAAAAATAAAATCGATTGTTAAAAATGACTATCGATTGTTGCCGATTTTGGGTGGTCCGATTTAGTTTATCGATTTTCAGAGACAATCGGGACAACACTAGCCATAATTCTGTTAAATTTGGTCGCAGCAAAAATTCTTTCCTTTACTACCATCTACACATTAAGGTTGTTCATCCCTGCTGTAAGTTTAAGCAAAATCTGCCATCCGGTTTAAGAGGAGTTGCGTTCACAAAATTTCTACATAGTATATAGTGAAAAAAATCAACAAAGGGCCATAATTCTGTTAAATTTTGGTCGCCAGCAAAAATTCTTTCCTTTACTACCATCTACACATTAAGGTTGTTCATCCCTGTAAGTTTTTAAGCAAAATCTGCCATCCGGTTTAAGAAGGAGTTGCGTTCACAAAATTTCTACATAGTATCTAGTGAAAAAAAATCAACAAAGGGCCATAATTCTGTTAAATTTGGTCGCAGCGAAAATTCCTTCCTTTACTGCCATCTACAATTTAAGGTTGTTCATCCCTGTAAGTTTAAGCAAAAATCTGCCATCCGGTTTAAGAGAGTTTTGCGTTCACAAGATTTCGGGACGTACGGACGGACTGACTGGCACGGACGGACGGAACGGACAAGCTGCAACGCTATATGCTCCCACATTGTGGGGGCATAAAAATCGACAAAGGGCCATAATTCTGTTAAATTTGGTCACAGTTAAAAATTCCTTCCTTTCTACTAACATCTACACATTAAAGCTGTTCATCCCTGGAAGTTTAAGCAAAATCTGCCATCCGGTTTAAGAGGAGTTGCGTTCACAAAATTTCTATATGGTATATAGGTGAAAAAATTAAACAAAGGGCCATAATTCTGTTAAATTTGGTCACAGAAAAAATTCCTTCCCTTTACTACCATCTACACATTAAAGCTGTTCATCCCTGGAAGTTTAAGCAAAATCTTGCCATCCGGTTTAAGAGGAGTTGCGTTCACAAAATTTCTATATGGGTATATAGTGAAAAAATTAACAAAAGGGCCATAAATTCTGTTAAATTTGGTCACAGCAAAAATTCCTTCTTTACTACCATCTACACATTAAGCTGTTCATCCCTGAAAGTTTAAGCAAAATCTGCATCCGGTTTAAGAGGAGTTGCGTTCACAAAATTTCTATATGGTATATAGTGAAAAAAATTAACAAAGGGCCATAATTCTGTTAAATTTGGTCGCAGCAAAAAAATTCCTTCCTTTACTACCATCTACACATTCAGGTTGTTCAAACCTGGAAAGTTAAAGCAAAATCTGCCATCCCCGGTTTAAGAGGAGTTGCATTCACAAAATTTCTACATAGTATATATAGTGAAAAAATAAAAAAAATGGCCATAATTCTGTTTAATTTGGTCGCCAGCAAAAAATTCCTTCCTTTACTACCAATCTACACAATTTAAGGTTGTTCATCCCTGGAAGTTTAAGAGCAAAATCTGCCATCCGGTTTATGAGGAGTTGCATTCACAAGATTTCGGGACAGACGTACGGATGTTTCCAACATTTTGGCTTTAGGGGCTATTTTCTTTGTTTTCTTTAAGGGCTACTAGCCCATAAACCCTTTGATCACGGAATGAACCTATTGTTCTCTTTTGTTCTCTTTTACTGTTATATATAGCCCTTAAACCCAAAATGTTTTTTGCTCGGACAAAATGTACGGACGGACGGACGTTCCAATAATTTTGGGTTTAGGGGCTATTTTCTTTCTTATCTTAAGGGCTACTAGCCCAATAAACCCCTTTGATCACGGAATGAACCTATTGTTCTCTTTTGTTCTCTTACTGTTAAAATAGCCCCTAAAAACCCAAAATGTTTGCTCGGACAGAAACGGACGGACAAAGTTGGCAACGCCTATATTGCCCCCCACTTTGTGGGAGCATAAAAATCAACAATTGGTTATTTTATAGCATTTGGTCTACAAAAAACAAGATACTTACGTGGTACGACAGTAACATTGACTCTAGCTTCCCCAAACTTGTTTTTCCCCGGTGACCTGTATGCGGAATGTATAGACCCCAGCGATCAACTGTAATGTAAAAAATATACACCATTTTATTTAATGCATAACCTTTGCATATATTAAAGATATACCTATGGCTTAAAATTTTAAATTATCTAATATTAGAAAATATCGATATAATTGATTCTCAGTCCTCTTTGTAAATATAGTATAAGCATGCTTTGACTTCACATACAGTACATGTGTTTATGTTTAAAAATTTACACACACTAATTGGTGGTCACCATATAAATATACAGTGTCAATAAAAAAATGGCAGTATTACTTAATTTAAAGAAAATATCAACTTTACTGAACCTGTAATAGGGAACGCAGCTTCCCAAAATAGTTCCTTCACTCTTGTATTCAAGTTAAGACATATTCAGATTTAGAATTTCATGGATTGCAATGAATTTCTGTGATTAAATATTTTACTCAAGAATGAGCATAGTATATCTGTAAGATTGTTTTTGTCTAGGATTGAAAGATGGACAGTCCATTTAAGATACATAGTGTGGTAAAGGTTAACTGGTTCTGAATCTGACAGTTTACAAACCACTTCAGAAGCATCATCAGCAACTGGCACAAACTTTTTTCAACCCAT